CATCGTAACACCTTCGTTCCCACTACTCTCTCTGCCGTTGCGTTCACGATGGACTCCCACCCTTCAATCACTCTGTCCCCTGCTGCTTGTACGGCGCCACCCCGGGGGGGGCGTTGTTGCCGTACTCGGTAATAGAGGGGGCGCGGCGTACATGCTAAGTGCGCCTTCCCTCCCCCAACTGTCGCACACAGCCGTGTATCCAACATGCAGTTGTAATTGTTTCCAATCACCTGAATGACTCTGGGTAGGTGCTTCGGTTGATTGGGTTGGTACGTTAGCACAGCAGGGGACAGCAGTCTCCCGTAAGTGTTTTGCAAGGAAATGAACACACCCTCCACGACACATGGCGACCGCTGTCTGACTCGTAACTGCCGCAGATATGCCCTGTTATCGTGTTTACAGGGAGGGAGCATTTTCTGCATCTGAGGAAACATGAACGAGAGAGCGCCCCACCAATTGAAACGCGCAGCAGCGCTATGTGACAGCTAGTTAGTTTCCCAACGGACGAATCCTACGTTTGGAACCCCAAGCACTTGCCTGGCTGCACGATTAGAATTCGACAGCTGTCGCTCCACCTTGTTCCAGCAAGAAACACACTGGTAGAGAATTGGAAACGTTGGAATTCTCTGGCGTGTCCCACCGTAACAAGGTCCTACCGTTGTAAGTAGCTCTTCAGCCGCTTGTTGACTTGGCACATCCTAACTACCAACTTAACTTCAGGTACAAGTTCAGGTACAAGTTATCATTGAAGGCATGCACAAGAGTGTACCGTCTTTCCGCGACCTCGGACTGTGGCTCTTCAATAGGAAGGCGCATCCCCGACCGGTAGTAGATGTATGCTGCTAACGAAAAAAGCAATCACTCCCGCCATACCGGCCATGTCCAGCCGCTACTACGTGCTACCTCAGGGCACCGTCATCGATGAGAGATGTGCTCGAATACACGCTCACGCAAGAACAAAGAATGCGGCAGTTGTAACATTACACGCCAGCAGTTGCTCTTAGATGGAGAGCTTCTTGTCGCACGGGTGATCCGCACGCGCTGTTTTTGAGCGGAACCAAAGCGGCGCCTCGAGTGGTTATTGATATGTATTGCAGACGTGGGTTTTTGGGTTGACCTGCTGACCTGGGTGGGCCGCACTCGTCTGCTGGGTTGACGTTAACGCGAGAATCGACGACGTCAAAGAACACCGACAAGGACACCAACAGAGACGTATGCCGATTGCTGCTCCAGTTCACCGTGTCTGCATTGTCGGCGCTAGACCACCATCGATCGCACACGTCCTTCTCTCACAACGATGTTTATCGCTAGCGTGGCGGATTCCAAAATTTGGCAAGACCAGGTATGGCCCTCTATTGCCCTCCTTCCGTGTCTAATGTGGTTGCCGTTCTGTTCGTGTGCTCTGTGCTCTGCTCCCGCCGTGACTGTGCTTCCCAACGTAGCCGCGATGCCAAGTCTGTGAAGATCAAGAACAACAAGGCGACTCACTCAACCAAGTTCAAGATCCGCTGCTCCAGGGTGAGTGGAGTTGGTCACAAGATGCCTAAATTACTCCCACATGCTGTCCTCCCCGCAGTGCTTGCAGCACACTGTTGCCTGGATGTCAGACGTAAGTGCCTCAGCAGCTTGGTTTCACAGGGTTCAGGTGCAGATCTTCCGTATTCTACAAGGGAAATGGTGCTCAGGACAGGCAAGAAACGACTGCTCGTACACTCACTTGAGCCTTTTTTGCCCGCACCCGTTTGTGGTTTTCTTGCGGATGTTTACTTTAATCGTTCTACAGTTACAGAAGGTCGCCTCCAGTGTACATCAATTCAGGTGCACATTTAGTTTTCTTTCGTGAAGCACGTGGGTATATGCTTCAGGCGGCAACGCTGCTGGCACGTGCAACAATACTCCGTCATTTTATTGCTTGTTTTTTTTTGTTGTGCTGACATCGGCCGGTTGGTTGCTAGAATTTATATCTCATGTCTCAAAATTTGGCGTTGAGAAGATACCGGCAGAAAAAGCCATGTAGTATGCATGGACAAGTGATCTCCAAGTCTACGCACCCCCTATCTCATATCGGAAGCCTCCCACAGAAATGTATTTGAAGGTCAGATTCTCGATGGAGGGCGACAGCTGTGGTTTGCGTTTTGCCTTTTGGAGACAAACGTCCACCCCGATGTGTGGGAAGCAGGCTAAGGCATTGGCGACTTGTGCAACTTGCATGCGCATCAGTTGGCACTATCTGGGAAGGTATGATTTTCAGCCATCTAAATCATCCCCGAACCGTTGTTCTCGTGTTCCCCCAGCTGGGCTCGACTTTTACGTGTGTAGTAGTCCACCTGTATCCCTATAATGTCACTAGGACGATGTCACCAGGCTTCTCGTCATACACCTCCTCACGTGCCGTTCCTGATATTTTTCCGTTCGTGTTGTGCTTGACTCGCGGCAAGTCCACCTCGTATCTTCTCATTATTCACGTCCTCATCCCTCGCCATTCCTGTCACTTCTCGTTCGTGCTGTGCTTTATGGATGTTTCAGCTCCTTCCCTCACCCCGTTGTTTCTGTTCCCCCTTCTTCTCTGCTCTCCCTTGTGAACGCTGTATGTGTTGCTGCGCGCAGTACCTGTACACCCTGTGCGTCACCGACAAGGAGAAGGCCGACAAGCTCACGCAATCGCTTCCCCCCGGTCTGCACAAGAAGCTGCTCAAATGATATATCTCATCCGTCTCGCTTAGACTGGATTCGTCTCAAGGCTTCCTTGCTTCCTGATGACGGGGTTCACTTTGCTGCCGGGACCGGACCTCTCGAATCGATCGGTTTCGTCTCTCTGCTGTGTTGGCTCTAGGATGGGAGGGAAGGGGGGGATGTTCATCTCCAATCGACCCCTTGTTGTCACTTGCGTGATTATGCACGGGCTCGCGCCCTTTCTTTCTCGCGTGCGGATGTGGCGGGATAGCGTTGGCACTGCTTGTGTTGGAAGTGGCTGGGATGTTGAAGGTTGCTCGGTTGGTGATGCTGAGCATTTGAAATTTGGGATTTTAAGGGAGGTGCTGAGCTGACTGCTGCTCTCGAAAAAATATGATTTTTTTCAAACACAGCGGGTTTGTTTCCAGTCATTTATGGCGGGTTCATCGTATTGCTGCTGCACCAAAGGTGCGCATGCCTCAGCTGCATGCTAGCAGCATCACCGCGCCTGTGTGCGCCGAGCGAACTGACTGGCAGTGCGAGCGGTGGTCGTGCTCTCGACGACGCGCATGTGTGTGTTTCAAAGTTTTATTCGTCTGCCATCACCACACGCCATCATGCTTTTCGCCACGTACCTGTGTGGTGATATTTTCCCTCATCCCCACAGCAAAGGACGGCGATCCGGAAAGCAGTGTTACGCACCCTCACGAAAACAGGAATTGGTAAGTCTCTTTGTCACACGATGCTACTCTTCCGGACACGCGCCTCCTGAAGATATGCCGATGGGTTGACATCTAGGAGAAATCTACGTGTAACCCTTCCGCACCAGTGTGTACCCGGCAGCAAACCATGGGTACATGACGGATGCCGCATTCAACCAAACTTTTCTTTTTCTGCTTTGACGTTCTATTTGTAGAGAGCCGAGACGTCTTTGATCTGCGTGATCATGGCTACGAAGCTGTTCGAACCTTGAGCTCGGTGTCATCACTCAGATGACAACACAGGTCGAGCGTTCAGTCAAGTTCGAGCCTGCGATTGAAGGGAACCAGTCTGAAAACCGGCACAAACCCGGGATTTCGAAGTGGGATCCGGCGAAACGAAACAAGTGAAGCATTCAAAGTCAACGAGAAGACCGGAACTCTGTTGCCTCATCACATTCAAACAACCGCACATTGATCTTGCTCGGAACATACAGTAGTAGTTTCACAACTGTGTTGGTCCAACCGGCGCGACTTGTTCCATGACCACAGGCTGACTACCTCCCAAACTGGGTAGGACCTACGACAAGATTGGAGGACCCAACACTCAACTCAAACGCGACAGTACAAATCTCGTGATCATGTCCCAAAACTTCCGACGCCTCGGGTGATACACGTCGGATGATGACCGTCGGTTACTACAAGACATGTTCATAGGACCAACCTTCTCCGCTCGACACGCTAGGCCGAACAAGGCAAACTCTGAAGTTACGCAACTTTCAGACTTTTTTACATCGAGAGGGGAGAGGTCGTGTCCTTCTTACACGCACCGATCGATGACGTTCTGTCCCTAAATCAGCCCGCAAAACAATGTACTTCATCCTGCCTAACCCCCCCCTTTTGTATGGGACACAAAACAACGACTATATCAATACTTTCATCACCGCGAGACTCACCTATCTACACATGCTCTCTACCCCTGCGTCACAAAAAAGCCAACAGCCCACCACACACACAGTTTTTTCTCGCTAATTTAATCCTGGTCTCCGTTGGAAGCGACGCGCTGCAAAGCTCGTTGTTGGTAAACTTGATCGACTTCATAAGTCGGGAGGGAAGGGATTGCTGTACCCTTCACGCGATGAAATATCTCAGGCAGGAACCGCAGGAGGGGGTCCAACCCCCCCCTCCTATGTGGCCCCGGTTAGGTCGTCTCGCTGGTAGAAGTGGAGGATGGGGGCCAGAGGGGCAGACGACAGAGTCTAATGATGGGAGAAAAATAAATATACATATACAGGGAGAGTTGTGCGAAAGCACGTGTTCCTCAGAACGACGACGGTTGGTCGTGCTCCTACATTGGCTGGAGAATCATCACCTCCACTTCTTCCTCTCCAACGTTGCTCCATGCACCATCAGCAGTAGTGCCAGCTTCACCGGCAGAAATGTCTCCCGAGGACTTGCCACACCACCAATTGTCGCCAGGCTTAACCTCCCCGCTCGACAACTGTGCGATGGTCATGGCAACAGCGAGGTACCCAAACGGCACCGGCACCATCGACCCCTTCCCACCTCCCGCATCGAAGACACTGCCGATGAACTCCCCAGGGGCAAGCTTTACCCGGTAGGCACGCAGGACACCGTTTTCGAAGCATAGGTCCCGTTGCGAGGTGCTTGGGAGGGCGGGGCTGACGCTTGCGGGTCTGGGGCGATCCACCTTGATCTCGATATCCATGCAATCTAGCTTGCGGTTGCCCACGCAGACCTGAAAACAGATATATAAGTCATGCAGTGCTTTTTCGGGGTGAACGCTTGGGAGGGTTTGGGCTTGTAAAGCACGAGATGTTTTGGGAACGGAACGGAACGCACAGAAGATCCAAATGAATCACCTTCAACACCAACAGGGAAGAGCAGATACATGTGTCCAACGCCCTATATCTAATTCGACAAGCGGGCGTCTCGAACGTACCGAAGAACCTACAACATCTGTAATGTCCAAGCGTATTTGTTCAGCAGCAGGTTGGGGAAGATGAGATTGCTTTACAACTACGATCGGCAGCGACCCACCCCCCGAGCCAATCCTGTTTCGAATTATTTAAAAGTGTTTTCCGGGGGCGACACCACCAACAAGAGCAACACGCCAGTCTCTTTTAACTGGCACTACTGCTGTATCCACTAAACACCTTCATCGCTGTTTGAAAGAGTTGTATGTATAATAGCCATACCATCGGTATGTTTGCTTGGAGTCCTAGATTCTCTCCGTTCGATCGTGCCCTTTGCAACCTCTGGCGTTGACACTCTGCAGATGCATACCGAATCCAACATGAACATCCGCTGGTTCTGTACGATAGTTGGTGGCATTCCACCCCTCTCTCGAATATGCTTCTTGCGTGGGATCAAACATGAAATCAAGACGATCAACAAGACACGGGATACTCATGAATAAAAAAGCTAGCCATCAGCGGGCGAGGCGCTTCATCTGTACGACCAAACAACACTGCTGTGGCTGTTGTTGCTCTCCTCGCCTTGTGGATGATGGGATTGGCCAGATGATCTCCCCAGTAGAACGACCCCGCTTCTAGTTCCACCTCAAAGGGTTCCTTTCCCACCACCTCGTTGCGAATCTGAGCACAGCAGTACAGCAGCATGTCGCAGCACACATGACGCATCAAACAAGACAGCAGGACAAACAACGGCGAGAACCGATAGAGCATGTCACGTGCCGCGACACTCTTCAAATGCTGCATTGCACACTACAGTATATGCTGTTCAACCAAAATAACTGGTCACATTTGTTTGCAGATGCTCGAATTGCTACCTCACTGCCAAACTGCGCGCTGGCAGTGCCAAGAGCAATCGGTCCAACCTGAGCGGTTCTGAAGAACAAGAAGAAGCTGTCCTGACTGTGCCGATGATACATCGTCTCTTGGTTCATGGGGCAGTCGACCTTAAGAACCCTTACATACTCGTTCTCAAACACGGTGGGGTGCAGCGGTTCGTTATACACTTCCACAAACTCCGGCACTTGTGCTTGGGCATCCTTCGCAGCAGCCGAAACCGGAGCATCTGCTGTGGCCATAGCTCAAGCCTCTTAAACCGTCGGTGCACAGGGTAGTGAGGGAAAAAGCGCAAGAACACGCGGCGAACGCGTGATGCCAATCACGCACAAACTGACAGCTTCATGGCTCCCGTATCGTTCAAGCATAGCAGCTACAGTGTAGTTGGATATCTCTCGTGGGGGTTGCAAGATGAATGCGTGTGTCTGCGTGTCCAAGGTACGCATCGTTGAATCAGCATGTTTTGTTCGCTCATCATGTATACAGGCAGTATAGGTAACAAAGAGACAACTGGGCAACAAATCATCAGCACGAGGCCAGCTAAAGCCCTCTACCTACCAACACCATGCATGTTCTCCTTCAATGAGTGCGAGCGGGCATCGTTGTTTTAGTACAACGGCCGTCATGGCGTGTGTCGAGCTCCTGACTCGGGGATTGACTCCTTTCGTCAGATCGTCGACTCACCACTTGCGTTGTGTCTGAAGTAAACCGCGCGAGCACGTCCAAATCCACCGCTATCGTTCTTGCGCTCTTTACTCAAGTCCAGCTGTCACTTCTACAGCAGTGAAGACACTGAGGAGAGAGAGGCTGGCGTGAGGAGCCTAGGCCGGTGCACTAGCCCCGTCGCACCCGCGGGTGAGGTGTGCCGGTGTGTGTCGATGGCACCCCCCCCAGGAACGCCTCGGGAACCAACAAATATATTGTCCGCTTTCATCTGCTACTATTCACTGCTGCTGCTGCTTTACCCAACGGCCGAGCGATGGCGGTGCCACAGCTGCAGTTCAAGGATTGCGAGCTAGACGCCATCACTCTTTCGTGGTCAGTGTGGCCACTTCGCCTACGGGTCTTGCAGTGTTTCTCTTGGAAATCGTAATCGAGAGTACCACGTTCCATGTACAGCAGCAGTATCCATACGCTTGTAACAACCAAGCCTACTTTCTTTGTATTTCGGCGACGACCTCTCTCCCCCCGCCCACACTTAGAACACCGCGGGTGTATTGATATGCATCAGCAGCATCAACTAGCAGCACGTACCAGCAATGGGGGTTTGTTGTTGACCACAGGCACACGCACATTTTCAGAAAAAAACACTTATTGCACCTCTCGTTGATAGTCGTTGTGACTCGACTCGGTGGCCATCGCATTTTCAGGGAGCGGGCCGAAGGCACCGGCTATAAACTGGAATTCCGGGAGATTCTTGTTTCGGTGAGAGATGAATAATAGACTGCAGTAGCACACGAGTGTAGAATATTATAGCCTTCGCTGCTGTAGTCATGCAAACGGGCAAAGCATTTTTTTTGTTCTCGATCCCGTCCTCTCCCGTCTGACCGTCGGTCGTGAAAACATGATGTATGTTTGCTGCTGCCGTTGCAAGATGCCTTGCGCGGGTCGAAAACAGCAAGACGCTCGGTTTGCCATGTACATTGCTGTAAGAACGGGGCAGATTATATCGTGGACTGGTGCAACCGGGCGCTGGAAAAATTGAAAACTGAGACTTCGTGTATATCTATCCGACATGTGAACATTTGCGTGGTACGAAGCTGGACTACGGAGCTGGTTTTCAAAATCTCTGTCGTGTCCAAAACTTACATCGTGAACATTTTGTTTGAAGAATGTGTCTCACCCGTTTCACCCAACGCTGCTCCCGTCATCAGTAATCTGCATCGTTTTGCCGCCGCACAAACCTGGAGCGATCACGCGCGCCCCAGTGAACACCACTTTCAACCCTCGCTGCTCTCAGAAAACTCTTCTTACTACAGTAAGGGCCGNGGCGCTGCCGCCACCAACACTCAGAGCGAGGGTGGAGCAGGCCGCCGGCGAGGGGTGGCAACCACTGCTCCTACCCCCCCGGGAAAAGGAAAAAACAAAGCGGCGGACGCGAAGCAACAACTGCAAGCCATCATGGCGGACCGCCGTTTTTTTTTTTTGTATTGCGCGTGCCCGTGGGCGAGGAGAGCCGCTCGAATCTGTAGGCGCGCCGCACTTTCTACGGTCGGCCATGACTCACACACAACCCTAGCTGACTTTCTACGGTGAGGGGCACTCGTGGTGCAGACGCAGCAGCCCTCGCGTGCCTCTGCAAGGGTACTTTGGAAAGTGCTCCAAATACTTTGAGAGGGTTGTCAAAAAGTTGGAACGAAGTGGAGCAAAGTTTTCGCGCCCAACTTCGTTCCAAATATTTTTGAAAAAAATGGACAAACGCCTACATACAGGTTCCATTTTTTCGACACTTTCAAAAATTTTGACAAAAAGTCGGTCCGTTTAAAACGGCCCTAAATACGTTGTTGCTGTTGGACTGATGGGGGGGTCTTCTGTTGTCTACAACGCTACCGCCAAAAAAGTGCTGATCGGTTAGATGCTGATTTTAACGCTCAGCTTGGGTATACAAGCCATGGATGATTGTTGAGAGGACTTACAGAACCCGTCTCATGACTCAAGTTGAGGGCATACACCACAGAGAGACGTTGTGGGGGAGGGCTCAGGGATATATTCCAGTTCCGTGTAACCCCCTCCGTGACCTCGGTTCAAACGGTGTCGCTGACAAGAAAAGATTAAACTAACATCTTGAGCAGGTAGGATGGACGAGAAGGAAAAATTGTGGTGTGGCCGGCAGACAGCAGTTCGCAGAAGAGTTTCGGTCTCAGCTGTCACCTACTTGTATCAGTTTGACTACTAAAGACCGAACGCACCCTGCACGTCCTTTTAAAACTCATTTTCCTCAAGTTTCGACAATCCTAGTCACCTGTCACGTGCTGTGCCTCGTCCTGTTGCCGTGCTACAGGATTGGGCAGGATGTCGCTCGATTGCAATAGCACCAGAACAATCTTCGTCTACGGAGGTCAGCACCAAGGTTACTGGTCTCAACCCTTCTTCTTCCTACATTTTTCGGCTCTACACGGTTACAGCTGACGGCCAAGCGGTGGGCCCAGGGCCAGAAATCGCTTTTGACACTGAAGGTATGGTCCGCTACTATGTACAGCTTTTGCATCCATTGACTAGATGGTAGGGCCCAGCACGGAGCGTAATATGGTGCTCTCCAATGCGTTGCAGCCGGAGGTGTACCCGGGTCCAAAACTCAAGAAAAGCGGCGAAGGAAAGGATACCCAAAGGATGGCAGCGTTGTACAAGTGGGAACAAGTTTGGACAGCCGTTCTATGCCGTGAAGAGAGGCGAACAGTTTGAGATAAATGTTAACAAAAGATGTCGTGCGGATCTACACTGGGACTACCGGAGGGACATTTTTCTGGAAGACTCGGGACAACAAGGTACACACAGTGGCACGTATTTTGGGTGGAGAGTAGCCATGAGCATGACAGGAGACCACGTGTACATACCAAACGGTAGGTCAGTATTGAAGGGGCTATTGACGCGGGGGGTCTCGGAACACATTGTTTCCTTCACGGATGCCCAGAAAAGTTGGACACAACTGTTGGGGAATGCACTATCAATAGCACAAGCTTGACAGCGTCAGCCAATACTATCTATGCCGACCGTACGAGAAGCGCGATGATGGCGACAGACGGCGACGCCATTTGGTTGTACTGGTATCTTGCAAGGAATTGCGTAGGGAGGTGCTGCACGTGTTTTTGTCACGGGTCTATACAGTGGGGGGCCCGCTTTAGTGCCGGTAAAATTTCTGGACACAGACAGCGCCCTCAGTAGTTCCGGGCCGGCACTATTAAGGGATGGCCCGTTATAGTGCCGGTTGGGCGCCGCTGTGCCCCCCAATAGTGCCGGTTCACTGCTGCTGTAGACACACACACACACACACACACGGCCTCGTCACGACCCTCACGGGCGGGCAGGCTAAGAACACATAGATGACTCCATCTATCTCACAGCCTACATCTGGCAGACAGTGCCTTCGACCCTTCGACGGCGGTGGTATCTCCTTCTCTCACGGAATCACAAATCTTTGTTTGGACAACGGATGGGCACAACCTGGATTTCCTGCTTCTACTACACAGTACAGCAGTACTACTGCGGCGGCTGCGAATACTGGATTCCTGGACGTGTTCACCTGAAGGAAAGCCAAGAGAACCTGCGAGCAGGACTTGGCTCCCTCGTGACTTCCAAGTGGCTTGCTAGGTTCGGACGAGGGCATGTGTGGAGCTATGGCAGTGTATGTGTTGCTGTTTTGTTTGAGTCATCTAGCTGCTGACACGATGACTGTTGGATCTTGGGAGTGTACGATTATCAAATTGGGAGATGCAGCATACCACGATATCCTGGCTGGGCTTGAAATAACCCTTTTGCTGCCCTCCGCTCTTTGCATCAGTGGCTTCCTAGGTTCGAGCGAGGGCATTTGTGTAGCTGAGATGTGTGTCTTCGTGAAAGAACATGTAGAGAGAGTCGTATTGGCATTCGCATCAAGCGCATTGCGCATTTTTCGAATTTTGGCCCCCTTCCAGGGACCTTGATTTTTACCCGCTGGCACTGACGTCTTTTAATTGGCCAGTCGGTTAGCGCGGTCGATGCTAATAATAAACACACACACACATACACACACACACACACCACGACACCAGAGGACAGACGCCACAGTCACGGAGTGTACACCTGCTGTTGCAGACCCTAAGAGCTCTAAGCAGAGGCGCACCATGCCTTGTGCGGAAGGTGAACTGTGCCTTCAACAGGACAGAACGCCGCAAGACCCTCATGGCCACGTCTGCCAGGGAGGATGTGGAGGGCGGCTCCACGGCAATTGCGGCAGCGTGTTTGACGACATCGAGACGCACCGTATTTGCAGCACGTGCGTTACCAGGATTGGCAAGCGCAAAGCGGCAGAAGCTGACGGTGCTGGGGCGGGACCATCTAAACGCCAGAAGGACAAGAGCGGTGGGAGCAAAAAGGGGGGTGTTCGTGCGCGCCCGGACAACAACACGAAGCTTGAGATTCTCAAGCTGCTGGGTGCGAAGGTCTCTCAAGTACAGATTGCAGACCGCTTCGGGTGCTCGGAGCGGTTTGTTAGGACTGTGAAGGCTGACCGGAAGAAGGTGGAGGCTGCGACTGCTGCAGGCGGCGGCACCCAGAAAACCGCGCGCAAGGGAAACTTTCCGGAGGTGAGCTTTCTTTTACCCGCCTTTTTTTTTCAAAATTGTTGCTGGCCGCTGTTCACTGGCCTTTTTTTTCACCCATGTTTTTTTTTCTTTTCGTCGTTCTTAATTTTTTTTTTCACTGGTACAATAGATGTTGCCTCTCTTAGTTTTTCTGTTCATTGTTTGTCTGTCTCGGTTTTCTCACATATGTATGTCCGCTTTCGTCCTCCTTTCCTTTCTGTGTGGCTAGTCCGCTGTTGATGTCCCCCTCTTTGCGTCTTTCCTATTCTTATTTTTTATTATGTATTCCGTATTATATGTACAGCAGACATAGTATATATAATCCATTCCTTTTTTTGTTTGTGTTTTGTTTTGTCTCTTTAAGGTCCGACTGCTGTGTTGTCCCGCCTGACCGCGCCGAGCAGTGAAGGATGCATGCTAATGTTCGAAACTAATGGTAAGACCTTCTGCTTGTTAACTCGTTCTTTGGCGGCAGGTGGATGCGATAGCTCTTTATCTGCTCGCCAAAGCCCGGAAGGCCAAGATGCCCGTCACACGCGATGTCCTTCGAAGCTTCGGCCGTTCCGCCAGGACAACCCTGCTGGCTGACACCGCAACTTCTGCAGCAGTAAGGGCGAGGGTCGAGGACTTCAAGGCCGGCGAGAAGTGGGCAAAGAACTTCGTGAAGCGCAACAACATCCACAGCGTGCGACTTCATTGCGAGGCTGGTAGCGTCGACAGGGCGGCTATCAGGGAGGGCATGGACGAAATCAGGGCCCTTTGCGCGAAGTACCCGGCTAGGTTCATCTTCAACGTCGACGAGACAGGCCTCCAGTGGAAGCTCCTGCCCAGGCGCACGTACCTTTCCACCTCGGAGGATCGGAAGACGGCGCGGGGTTCAAAGAGCATGTACTTTAAGGACCGACTGTCTGCCATCATGTGCTGCAATGCCGACGGCACTGCGAAGGTGGACATGGCCATCATCGGGAAGGCAAAGGAACCCCGCTGCTTCAAGGACGGGGGTTCACCTCTGAAGTACTTCTCGCGGCCAACGCGTGGTCCGACTCTGCGACGTTCCTCAAGTGGTGGCTTGAAGTCTTCCTCCCGTTCGTTCGGCGCTTCACTCACGAACCTGTGCTGCTGCTGATGGACGGCTGTTCCTCTCACGTTGATCTCGTGGATGACCGGGGGCAAGTGACCACCAAGGCCTATCCTCCGCTGTGCACCTCCGTACACCAGCCCATGGATCTGGGGGTCATCGCCAAGACGAAAGTCGTCTACAGAAAGGAGCTGATCGATGTGAAGATATCAACCATGTTCGTGGCTGACACACTTCGCGCCCAGGCGAAAGCGCGCAAGATGAAGTCCGGGACAACGGGGCTGGCGCAAGGGCACCAACCTCACGTGCGGGAAGCCGCTGAACTTCTCGAGAAAGCATGGGCCAGCGTCACCGCCCAGGATATCGCCAGGTGAGGTTTGAACATGTGGTAATGCTGTTTCTTTTTCAGCTCCCGCAAGTGCGCGTGGCTTTGGTGGTGCGATACGTGGGGACGGTTGTACGGATAGGTTCGCATGGGTTTCCTTTTTTTCCAAAAGAGTATTGCAAAACCCGGACATGCCTATTTCTCCTGTTCTACGAAAGGGTCCTCTCTCGCATTCCTATGAGTCATTCTTCGTCACTCCCGTCCGACATCGCTTGTCCACCCAAAAACGGATGCATTGCATTTTCTGCTGCCTGGGACCAGGTGCTTTGTCAAGGCCGACACGCTTCCTCCGGAGATGGCGGCTGAGCTCACCAAACAACACGGAAAGACTCGGTTTAGCATCGCCGAGCCTGACTTGAAGGCTCTCACGGAGACCGTCAACAAGATGAGCACGAGCGTCGGCGACGCGCACGAGCAGCGAGCCGGCACCGTAGACGAGGAGACCAGCGAGCTCTTCGCAAAACTCGACATCGAACCCGGAGTGCCGGTCGAGGGAGAAGCGCTGAGCGCCATTCAGGGGTGGGTTACCATCGAGGACGACGATGAGGTGGCAGAGGCTCTTCGACTGGACGCAGTGGACGAAATGGCGGCACTGCTGGCTGGAACGCACGTGACAACAGGCGGCGAGGAGGAGGACGAAGAGGAGGGCAGTGGCGATGGCAACACGGGGCCCGAGCACCCTGCTCCACCTGCTTATGCTGAGCTGTCGCCTCACTTCAGCGTCCTAGAAGCTGCAGCAGATGAGAGTAGCAACGGAGACGCGGCGTTCTTCCTAACGAAAGCGAAGATGGCAATGATTACAGCGCATTCCGCTACGCGGGTGCGCCAGGCAGACATAAAGTTTGTTGCTCCTACGGAGTAAGGGGTGCAGCTGTTGTATGTAGCAATGGTTGCTTCATTCGCTTCCGGTGCGCTTCCTGTCGTGCTTTTCTTTGTTTTTTTCTTCTTGTAACATCCAAGGGGGTGCGCCAGGCACACGTGAGAGAGAGTTGCTGCTACGTTGCGAGGGCGGGGAGAACAGCTGTGGTAGTAGTAATGGTCGTTATTTTTTCGTGCGGTGCGCTTCCTGTCGTCGTTCTTTCTCTCTGTTGTCTTTTTTTATCGGGCAACATCGAAGGAGGGCAACGAGGACTTGGACGTCCAGTAATCCTACACTCATTTTCGATCCACGATCCACATCGTACTCTGTTGACCCCGCAAAGCTTGAGCGCTGCACCATGAGAACACCGCCTCCCCAGTAGTGCCTCAATAGTGCCGGACCGGCACTACTGAGGTATATTCGAAGCCTCAATACTGCCGAACCGGCCCTATTGAGGCACTATTCTGAATACTGCCGGTGCCCGGTATAGTGCCGCTTTTCCCTCTGGACACTAACCGGCACTATAGCGGGCCCCCCTCTGTATGTGAATGCCATGACGATGATGATGCACGACAGAAAGGAATGCAGGGACTTGATTCTGCGGATGATTCCAAGCAGTGTGCAAGAACTTGGCCGGTTCATCCCGGTGTGCGGTATATTAAAATTGTTCCAGTTCGTATGTTTCTTTCCCCGCACGTACATCAAACAGTTTGAAGCAAAGAAGCTAAAATTTCGCGTGCTCTGTTTCTCGTTGCCTGTCCACGACCTTCCCTCCCAGTTGTGTCGTGCGCACCAACAAGTAAATCGTGCTGCTCCATTTCCTAATGATGGATGAGTCAAGACCTACCGGAGAAAGGAAGTGAGTGGGTGAGAATCAAGAAAGTTGACTTGAAGCGAACGAAAAAGCCTGGCGTCGACGTAATCTTGTTCCAATAGAAACCCGCAGCGTGCGCGACTGGTTACTGCCCTTCTACTCTCAGCTCCGTTTTCGTTGATGGGCCTTCTTCATGCGTCGACAGGGGTTCGTTGACTGTATTTTTGGAAGCAGGGGAGTTGTTGTGCTTTTTCGCGAATGACGTCGTTTCGTGTACGTCATGCAAGACTAGGTGGTCGTAACGTATCAGGTGTCGATGCCCATCATTCCAGGTGTTAGTTTGGAGATATATTTTGTTTCTGGATGCACAAGGCACAAGCGAAGTAGCGCATGAGGCTTCGGCATTGGCCGTTTTTTTGTTGGGGTTTGTCGTGTCTACGTTTTTTCTCTCTGTTACCCAAGGCGTCATCCGGTTGTTACCCTTGTAGCCTACTGCTGTTGCTAAGCTGTAATATTGTGTACTATGCGTATGCTCTTGGCGCGCTTGCGGTGGTTCTCCTTTGGGTGCTCCCCGTCTGTTTGTTATTGTGTTGGAAACCTCAGCTGTCAATATTCGACCGGGATCTGCTATCCTCGGAGAGAGTTGCATATCGTGATGCTTCGTGCGGGTTTGTCTAGGGGAGCGCGAGTATATAGCTGGTTGAGATCATGGTAGCCTCGCCTTGTTGATTTTTCTACCAGCCAATTCAGCCTGTAAGAACAAGCCATTCCCAAGAACATGATCGAAACTCTGGAGAACCAGTGAATGTTGACACTCTGCCAATTCCCTAGGGCAAGACGGCGTTGAGATTTTGAATACGGTGCCTAGTACCGTGCCGAGTGTACTCACCGCAGCAGTCAGAAACCCAATTCCTTGCTATTTGTTTCGTAACAACTGGAGGCCCACACTTCATTCGTGAATGTGGACTATTGAAGAGTCTTCGGAGTTTGTCACCTTTGGCATATGTGTGACACGTCCCACTGCATCTTGTCGCGGGGCATGCTCAAATCCAATCCCGCGGGGCGTTTTGGATTCCCCGCTCGTCCTCTTTTCAGTACCCAAATTCAGAGTCTGGTCCGATACCACTTTAGGCGTGTTTAATGCGATGAACGAAAATAGGAACAAGCAAGCGTGTTTGCCAAAGTATCATTCGAAGCGCTTGACAGGAGGGAAAAAACAGCAACGAGCGCTCAACTGCCAGGGACATCCTCTGGGCGCAATACCTGGTATGTTGGGGTTGTTTGTAGTTTTCGGTTGTACAAGATGGACCACCGAGGCGAACTAAAAACTGACAGGATGCCATTTCTCACGTATTTTACCCTTTTTTACCTGAAATATGTTGTAGTTTTTTGCGAAAGACATCAAACGTTCTCGGGGAGCTGCAAGTGGCTCTGCGGTGATCTGTGCGTATGTGGCCGGCCTGAGTGTAATCTAGTCACACATTTTGTCATCTCCCTCATACTCTCCTTTCTCCTCTGCTGCAGTCGCGTCCCTTAAACCCGGATATTCATACGCCTATTATTGCCCTGTGTCCCGTTCAGCCACACATGCTCGACTGAGCTTCCCTTTTTTGCCAGGCGAATATGTATTTACTGCCCCCCATTCAAATAGCACCCCAAATACAGATAGCTCCGAAAAGGTACGCCGCGGTCGACAAGATGGCCAGGGCCCATGCGTTCATGAAAAACATAATCTCGTGCACCGTCGGAACGTCGCAGCTTCGGAGAACTCGAACGCCGTCTGCGAGAACCCTACCCATGGTACATACATCGCAGCCACTCGTAGCATCACCTTAGGCCAAAACTGCAGGAAACTAGAGGTTCTGTACCATGACACCTGACCGTCCACTTTCGCTGCGAGAATCAGCGAGGGACGTATCAACAGCTTGCAGTTTGCGGGCAAAACTAGCCATGCCAACAGCATTACATTTGAACTGCCCGCGTCAGGTTCTTCTGGTCGAGGCTCAAAACACTTCTTTTTCCCGTGTACCCATTGCAATTTTTCATTGCGCACTTCTACCGTTGATACCCCTGGTCCGGTTATGATTGTGGTGCTCATTGGTTAACCGAGGCGCATGTGTGGTTGTGCGAGAGGTGGGAATTGATCTGGGGTGGTGGAATCACAGACGGGACTCTGTCCGTTGCCCAGCCAACGTGGCAACGGCGGCTGCGGTGTGTTTAGTACGGAACATTGCACTCCGGCAGGGCGAGAGGTCGAAAGCGGTTTTCTAATAGCAGCAGTCGTTATTGGCAGCGAACGTGGGGGAGACTAGGTCAAGCTCATGACTGCTGCGAATCTGCGAATCAACAATCAAGCACAAGAAATATTCCGAAAATTCTCGTCCGAACCAAACCATTTTTTGGTTTGGTTGTCCCGAACCGGCAAGTATATATCGAAGTCCGGAGCAAGCTGCCCACACACGCGGGGCATTCTCAAACGCACCGCAACTTTCCACACGGCACCAGTCTGCTTGCTGCTGCCCCTGCTGTGCCCACACGCAACCTATGATCATTCCATCTCTCACACCAGCCGTCCTTTTCCTCACAGCACCAAACCTTCGATCCTTTCATAACACCAACATGGCGTCTCAACTTTCGGTCGACAGGTGCGCGAAACACGAAAACATGACTGAAGGTTGAATCACATCACATGAATAACGAGCGTCGGTCCGCGTGCGTCCGCTTCGAGCAGGCGGTACAGCAGTATGACCAGCCAATTGTAGGATTTTCTACCGTACCCGCACCCTTTGACTACTACTGCTGTCGATCCAGGGTTGTTGCAGTGGAGATGAGCTTCGTTCGTTCGGTTTCCGTACCTGCAACAGCAGTGGCTGCGCTTGTACAGCTGATAAAGCTAGCAGTCGCAGCCGGTTGCAGTGGCAACAGCGCCCACTGCTGTTTTCATGCAGAGATATGAAGAATATTTAAGCGTAGGGGCGATCTGTACGGACAGGCAAGAGACCGCGATATCACGGTCGTGATTTGGTGAGGACATCGCGATCGTGATCAGCACGTGACGCTGCTCTCGACACACCCTAGACAACAGCAGCAGACTCGTGGTGATCGTACAGCTGATGATGCCTGCGGTGTTGAGCAGATGATACGTTGCCGATCGATGTCTCCATCCCGCCAATCCCACGCAAGTTTAAGTGCGTTTAGGCGTGGGCAGAAAAAGCACAAACAGGGCGTGGTCAAACATCAAGTAACTGAGGCAGGCAACACGTGGACCCGAATACGTGTGCACGTTGCCCTCAGACTGTGACACCCATGCGTTACAAATACACAACCTTTTACACGATTTCCCCGATGCGTGCTACGGTCCGTGTTCACTTCCCAGGAGCGTGCGGGTCAGCGTTCACACCAGCGGAATGGAATGGGCACCGTCTCCATCTCCCTCTGTTTGGAGGAAGCGAGTTGCTCTGGAAGGCCCCCAAGAGTCTGGCAGAGTTACTTCTGTGGTGAGCGACGCTCGCGCGCGAGACCGCCTAGTCTATTGTTGGAAGCTGCAGCTGAAAAGCAAAGAAACAGCGAGGAATGCTAAGGGGGTCGAACGGATTGCGCGAAGAGCAGAAAGTTTCAGGCACTCGAGTAGCTCAACAAATGAAGTAGCGGTCTCCTTCTTGCTCATGGCGCGCCGCATGTTTGCGTCTGCTCCACGAACTTTGCGAGGGCTCAACAACATTGTGCAATTATCGCTCAACTTGTCCTCTGTTACCTTGTTCCCCGGTTGGACCTTTTCGCCCGCGAGGTGCGCTACGACGCCAACAGCCAGTTTAATGAGCATGGTCACCCAGACGGTGAAGAGATCTTGGTCCTTGAGGGTTCGTGGCAAGGTGACCTTTCGTGTGCATTGAGTCCTATTTCTTTGGCGTGTTCACCGGTGGACATCGAATCAACGGCAGAAACTACGGTAATATAGACCATGGCACAGTTTCACGTTTTTTCGCTGTGTCATATCCTGGCAGGCAAGCCGTCCTGGCTCATTCTCCCATGGGTTTCATGTGTCCCTTGATGCCCCCTCTTAGAAACCTTGAATACGTCTAAGAGTTTTCCCCTGGCCGTCGCTGTTACCGGACCTAACAAGACCACCCCGTCCTAATGCATACAAGACTCCAATGTTCCGCACGCAAGCTGTCAACTGTTCTAGTACGTTGTTTGGCAACTCTCGTTGACGATGAACGATGCGTTGTTTTTTCGGAGATCGAGCGTGCGCTTTCACGCCCCCGGTTTTTCGTCAGGATAACACACCGTATCGCGCTCGCCCCGTACGCTGCCCTTTCCCCCTCTTTCCCTCTACCTCTTCTCTTCCCTCTCACTCGCGTGGCGTGTGTGTGTTGGTCTACCTTCTCTACGTTGGCGTTCGTAAAATTGACGAAGATGCCAACGGAGACCATCCCACCGGCACGTACATGCTCAATCCGGAGGTACGGGGCGCGGATTGTTTCAAACGAAGCCGGATTGTGGCTGCATGCGTTTTGTTTGTGAGGTCCCGAAGTCCTTCAAGACCCCCCAAGATGTTTTGTAACGTTCTGCTCCTCAGAGCTGGTCTTTCATGCAGCTGCTATAAGAGCTACCGCTACGCCAAAATGGTACGCTGTATCAGAAGACGTACCACGCTATCGCGCTGGCCGTAACTCTGTGACCCAACCCTCTCCGCCGCCTCTTCAGTCTCTATCCTCCTTGTACGCGATATTGTGAGTGGCTTGTGAATACAGACTAGATTTGGGTGACGAGCTCATGTGGCTAACCACCACGACCACCCACGAAAACAACACGAACAACAGGATGAACAGCAAGGATTTATGCAGCAAAGAGTTCGCACGCCAACGATGTAGGTATTGTCGTGAAGGTTTCCGCCCCCCCCCCCTCGCGCTCCGCCCCCTCGGTGTTTGCCATCGGCGTTGGGTTTTCGCCGCTCGGCAATGACGTTGTAAAACAAGCGGATCACTTCGTGAGCTCGGCAACCAGGTTGCCGCTTTACTTAATACTTGGATGTATTTTTTTTGCCTCTGTTTTTTTGTGGGGTAACCATAATGGTCGCCGAGTATGTTGTACGGGGTCGAGCAACCTAACTCCGCGCAAAGGGGATGATCGCACCACGTTGTGTTAAAATGGTCAAGCACCCTCGAGGCAGTTACACAGTGCTTACAACTGTCTCTGGAAGTGAAAGCACCAGAAAGTAAATTAAGTCATACGCAGCTGTCATCCGTACGCAAGGAAGTATAGCCAAGATGCCGAACACCCTTAGCAGGATGCAGCGCACCCTTCATGCGACTCGCCGATTACCTGAGAGCCTGGTCCGGTGAGACCCCGACATGCTCCGTCCCGGCTTTGTAGGGATGCGACGTCAATGGTCTAACGACTACGGCATGCACGACTATTGAGTAACCCCCCCCCCTCCCGCTCTGTTGCTCCGCCACCCCCACTCGACACGTTTGCAGGGGTTCCGTCACGCTCCGTGCTCCAGGGACGGTTGTGTGCTCTGGGTAAAGCTTCGGCAACACGGCGGCCCTTCTCGCAAGCACACTCGCCTCGACACCAACAGCATGCAGTGGGAAGACACCGACATCCCTGGGGTGAAGGCCAAGGAGCTGTATTCGTGAGTCTGCGGGACCCCCGTTGTGTGCTGCCGTCCTGTAGGGCTCAGTGAAAAGTCAGTCCGGAAGTAGTGTTTCGTGCTGCGGTTTTGGAGACGGTGGGGTACACGTTGGTGTATTTGCCTTCGTGCTTAAAGCTCTTGCTCAGGCTGTCGGGGGGCGTCGCTATGGTTGTGCCAAGCGTGGTGTCGACTCGCGCTCGGCAAGTTTTGGCTACCAAGGGGTGTGCCGTTTTGTCCTTGCTGCCGGTGCTGAACGAACGTTCGAGTCGGGGCGTAGGGACCACCATGCGTTTCGGTTGAATCTGCTCTGCCTATCAAGCCGTATCATAGAGCCCTCGAGCCGATATATCATGCCCGCGAACAGCAAGCACAAGGCTATTTCGGCGAACATTTTTTGTTTGGTGTTGATTTGTCGTTGCCCAGCTGCTAGAAGGGACAACCGCGTAACTTGGTTGTGGGGGTCCCAGTATATTCATCATGAAGAACGATGGTACATAGGAACTTTGAATCCTTGTCGTGTACCACGTAACGTCGCCCATCCCGCAATGCCCACACGGCACAGGCACCCCGATCATGTCGAATCCATGCGAATCGAGAAATGGGATGCTGGCGCGAAGGTCGAGCGCGAGTGCGACAAGATGACCGAGTTTCTGGTGCTTGAAGGGGAGGCTGAGGCACATGATGGTGAGATGCTGCATCCTCGTCTTCAGCAGCGATGTACTCGGTTTGACTGCACGTGGTAGTTACTTTGGCGCCACCTATTTACCCTACCGGTGTCTATCCCAGAGCGATCCTTGCCTGGAGAACGTTCGTCCTCCGTATCGAGAGTCGTGTTGGACCCACCCGTACAAACTGCCGGGCTTGACCCCGAACGTGTCCGGGTTCAACTCCTGTGTTTCATTTGGTATTTATTATTTTCTTTCACTCGATTACAATACCCCTGCGTGCTACAGTAGTTCCTTGCCTTGAATGCCAAGTTCGCTTTTGTCCGACCTGCTTGCGAGCCATTGCTAATATCTAACACCGTTTTCACGGCCAGTCGCGGGTAAACCCTCTGCAGCTCTAGTCTACTATACGTTCCGAGGCGCTGGGCGAAATGATCCAACGTTCAAACCCGATCCAGTATTGAAACGTGCCTAGTTGCCATTGTAGGAAGGACGACGTTGCAGCCCATGTCCTGGGTGGGCATAAACACCGGAACTTGTGAAGTTTTCAGTGATTGTTTCGTACAGTGCTTGTACTGTACAGTAGTCCTCGACTTCCCGGTGACGACGTGCCCTCGTTCTTACTCACCCCGCAGAGAGCGAGACCTTCACAAAACGGAGCTGGCTGAGGCTTCCCGCGGGAGCCACGCTGTCCATGACATCCGCAGCGGGCTGCCAAGTGTTCGTCAAGGAGGGGGAGTGGCTTCCGTCCAGCAGCAACACCTACGCGCCGTGAAGAAAACCGGTTTCCGCGTTCTGCACTGCGTCCCACCGTTTAAAGAACCAGCCAAGAAGAGACTGGCGATTGTGATCGGTGGTGGTGCCGACTCTCGAGGGTGCATTTCGGCGGAAGCGTACGATACCGTGTTGCTTGGTGGATCGCACGAGGTCGCCACGGCGATGGTAGTGAACATTAGTCTAAGGTAGTCTAGACACCATTGTGTCACATGAATGTGTGGGGTGCAGCATCGAACGAACCACAGGGATTGAGGGGATATTCTCTCCTTTGAAATTAATGTATTTCGGCTTTCCTTGTGTATTTTCCCTACAACAGCGAGAATGGGTTGTGTTTGTGGGGGGGGTGGGGGGTGATTCCTTGTATATCTACTTCAGCAGTTGGTAGGCCGGCGCGTTCCTGCAGTGTGATGGATAGCATCCGAAGTGAGCTACTGTACAGTACGGAGTGATTGGACAAGTACAACACAGCAGCAGTACATTTATTTGCAAGATAATAGAGTGGCAACGATGACGACGACAGTAGCACCAAATAACATTCACGGTAAAGTTCGAGGCGGATGCTGGCAGGAGTAGGGCCGCTTGAGGTTTTTCGGGGCGGCCGCATCACGGTGCGACTTTTGGGGGCCCTTGTGACGTCATGTACATGAATGATCAACAGCAACGAATGGGGGAGGTGCTACGTCGGAATCCCGCTCTGCGACCCCTCGCGGAACGTGCTTGGCTAGCTTTGCTGGCTTTGCTGGCTTTGCTGGCTTTGCCTCCGTGTACGCACCCGAGGTTTTGGGCACCTTGTGTTGGGCTTGTTTTTTCCCTGGCTGCGGCGGCATCTGTACAGCGCAAGTGGTGCTGGAACGGAGGTCGGCTCGATCCAAGGAGTTGTTGTTGTTGTTGTTGTTGTTGTCTTCACATTAAAAACCGTTCCGTTCTCTCTACCCAGTACCTTCTTCTGTCCGTACTAGTCTAACACATAACGCGGTCGATTCCGGTTGTCACAGGCTAACCTACCCAAAAAAGTGCAACGGGATTTTCGAATGATGTAGTCTTCACCAAAGTCCGAGGAACGGCTTCGAAAACTTTTGAGGAGAGGTGTCCAGCAAGCTACGTGTAGATCCGTCCAGGGTTTCGAACTCTGCCGTGGCTGCTTCACAGTTGTATTCAGTAAGTGACTCAATGCCAACAGCAGTATACTGCGGTAGCTGGCGACATCCCGCATTCGGTTGCTTCAGCTATCTCAGGACACGCGTTGTTGCGACAGTATCAACTTGAAAGTTGAGTACATATCATGTTGCCTACATTCAAGTCTTTCCCTTGCCCATGGGAATAACGTTTAAGGGTTTGATTGGGCAGGGAATGAAGTGTTTGACAAAGACCATGGGCCGCGCATTGCTGCGGTCTCATGGACTGTTAGTGGTGGAAACCTGCACTGACAACGTAGTTTTTGCAAACAGCGTGGCGTAAGCCATCGGTTTTACTTTTAGGAGTTTTTTTCGCGCGCGAAGCGCGCGTGCGAAAAAAACCCCGGAGCGATAGCGGAGTTTTTTTTTCGCAAAAAAACTGTTTTAGATGGGTCCTTTTTGTTTCCCCGCCTGGGTTCTGCGCACGTTGAATAACACCGCCTGTCAGCCCGACCCCTGAATTAATTACTGTTGTTCTCAAATTGATGTCCGTGTGTGCGTGTGTGTGTTCGCACCACCTTTGCACCGATAAACAAGCCGTTTGAGGATCGTTTTCGGTGCGGAAAAGTGCACAAGCTGTAGCGTCACAAGGCCATCATTCCGCACCCAAGCGTTTCTCATTTCGTGCCCGCGTCGCTGCGTTCGGTGCCGAGGTATACTCTACTCACAATCCGTTTCATCGATAACTGCGCCAATTGGCGACGTTCTGCAAAAAAAACGAGTGCCCAAGCCTACTCCTAATAGGTGAACACTTCTCGCGTCGTTGTTTCCTTGCACCAACCCCTAAGTCACTCGTTCACACCCGGTTTGTCCTCTCTTTGCGGCGTCCTCCAACTGTCATTTGGGACATGTGTGTGTCGGTTTGGTTCTGCTGCTGCTGTGTTCTTTTTTTGACCTCGTCCACACCGAGTGGCCAACTTTGGCACGTGTTCAGACCAGCTACCACGCATCTCCTCCTCTACAGCTCGCGGCTTTCACTATCTGCATATCACAGAGGGTGTTCGCGTGTGGTTTGCAGACCACGACAGGGCGTAGTGAGGAGGGGCTCGCGATCGGCGACAACTCGCGTGCTAGTTCAAATATTCTGCTGCTGCTGTGTTCTGAGTGGTGGGGCATTTTTTTCTACTTCTTCATTTATTTACGCATACGATTAACGCATACGGAGTGCTGACAACAACGATTCGCATCAACAACATCGCATCAACAACATTTCGGGTGTGTGTACCAAAACAAAAGCAACACATATTCACGGGGGGCGCACGACCCAGCCTACTGCAGGTACTTTCCGCAGCACGGGTTATGCTGTTGTGATGGTGCGCGCGGAAAAAACTCCCCCCACTCGGGGTCTAGTAGATGGGTCCTTTTGTTTCCCCGCCTGGGTTCTGCGCACGTTGAATAACACCGCCTGTCAGCCCGACCCCTGAATTAATTACTGTTGTTCTCAAATTGATGTCCGTGTGTGCGTGTGTGTGTTCGCACCACCTTTGCACCGATAAACAAGCCGTTTGAGGATCGTTTTCGGTGCGGAAAAGTGCATGAGCTGTAGCGTAACAAGGCCATCATTCCGCACCCAAGCGTTTCTCATTTCGTGCCCGCGTCGCTGCGTTCGGTGCCGATATGTACTCTATTCACAATCCGTTTCATCGATAACTGCGCCAATTGGCGACGTTCTGCAAAAAAAACGAGTGCCCAAGCCTACTCCTAATAGGTGAACACTTCTCGCGTCGTTGTTTCCTTGCACCAACCCCTAAGTCACTCGTTCACACCCGGTTTGTCCTCTCTTTGCGGCGTCCTTCAACTGTCATTTGGGACACGTGTGTGTCGGTTTGGTTCTGCTGCTGCTGTGTTCTTTTTTTGACCTCGTCCACACCGAGTGGCCAACTTTGGCACGTGTTCAGACCAGCTACCACGCATCTCCTCCTCTACAGCTCGCGGCTTTCACTATCTGCATATCACAGAGGGTGTTCGCGTGTGGTTTGCAGACCACGACAGGGCGTAGTGAGGAGGGGCTCGCGATCGGCGACAACTCGCGTGCTAGTTCAAATATTCTGCTGCTGCTGTGTTCTGAGTGGTGGGGCATTTTTTTCTACTTTTTCATTTATTAACGCATACGGAGTGCTGACAACAACGATTCGCATCAACATCGCATCAACAACATCGCATCAACAACATTTCGGGTGTGTGTACCAAAACAAAAGCAACACATATTCACGGGGGGCGCACGACCCAGCCTACTGCAGGTACTTTCCGCAGCACGGGTTATGCTGTTGTGATGGTGCGCGCGGAAAAAACTCCCCCAACTCGGGGTCTCGTATGAAAGTCATGGAAGCCCTCCGTGTAAGTTGTGGAAGATTCAATTTTCTGACGTGGACGCTTCCAGTTGATTTGTGTTGTCATATCACAGGATCTCTTGACATGAGCTTCTCGTGGTACGTCAATCGTGGGATAGGACGCTGCCAACGATGGTGCTGTTGAATGTTTTCAATTTACCCTTTCGTAATTACACCCCCGAATCGTGCATGCTAGCATGCACGATAACTCGTAGAAAAAATTTCGAACCGAATTGAGCTGTGGGTACGCTGTGGGTACAGTGCCTGCATCGACGACGGCTTGACGGTACGACTAGACTGCTCGAGAAGGAACCAAGTAACGACCGGAGACAGCAACAGCACGTCCCCTATAGTCTACAGAAAGTTGAAAGCCTGGGAGTTGCAATGCTCCGCAGCACCCTGCATCCCGCGCTGCTGTGGACCTCGAGTCCAGCACGCAGAACCGCGATCATGAGGCCGTTTTTCCTCCTGCTTGTTGCGATTTTTCGGACGAGCGCTATGGACACCCCTGCTATGGAATCGGACTAGACATCCCTGCGTCGCACGTTGGCAAGGGACAGCAACAGCACGTCCCCCCGTGCCTTCGCGTTTTTGAGAGGGTTTTCGTGACTCCAGGGACGATAGTATGCATGATAGTCCCTGTCATTATCTGGTACGAAAGATCATGCTCTCGCTGATGTGTTGTGTGCCCTTCCTTGCCTTGGGAATGTGGTTGCAGAACTGAGGGCCAAGCCTACGAGGCCTCTCCCCGAGTTCTCCTGCGTGTGTGTGTTTGTGTGTGTATTCCTTGTCCCTCTTCAACCAACTGCCACCACAAGGCATAGTCTATCTCTCGCGCGGCTCGTGCTGCTGCTGCCGCGGGTTGCTGCTGCTGCTGCCGCTTGCTTGGGCGTTTTGTTTTCATTTCGTTTCGCATGCATGCATCCCAACAAACCGTACTTCCGTGTGTGCTTCTTCTCTCCAAAGGAATCCCTACCCAACCAAGTGGCATTGGAGGCGGTGCCATGCCTTGCGCCAGTGTGCTGCTTCGGCGGCGGGGTAGCGTGACATGTAGAACTGCTGTGCAAAAGATATATGTCTACTGCTGCTCCTGCTGTATCCATGTATACCATCATCATGTACATGTCATCGTGTTTTCTTGTTTGGGGTAAAGAAATCGGCGCCCTCTCTCTCCTCTCCTCCGCTTTCCGACAGCACGACAGCACCTACATACAGCAGTACAGCAAATAGTCATCAGTCACCCATCACAGTCTTCATGTGGTGAGGGTTCCGCTGCTGGTGGGCACTAAACCTTTGTGGCACCACGGGTGCGTGCGGTTGACCGTGTGGGAATCTGTTCGTGCCAGGGTTCGTGCGCACGTTCACACGTGTGTGTCGTGTGTCGTGTGTGTCGTGTGTCATGACTCAGCGGTCTATTCGATGCCGGCAGAACAAAAACAAACGCGAAAGATCCAGGAAGCCAGGAAGAACCCAGTCACGAAAGTGAACAGAATCATGGTCGTGCCTTTAGTATCATAAGCGACTGAGAAAACCAACTTGGATGTGGAAAACAGAATCATGCATGCCCATTTTGTAAGGCGTAGAAAGAAATGAACCAAATGCTGGAGTGGGAACATCACGACCTGTGCTGGCTTCAAGTGCCCGGGCTTCTATGTTGTTTTGTTGTTGTTGTTTCTCACATTAGCTCTAAAAAAAAAAAGATTGGGAGCCCGTGGTCTCAAAACCCGGCATACACGACCCCACGAAGAAACAGAAAAAAATAGGGTACAAAAACCACTCGGAAGAGAAACAAAATGATAGAAAGAAAGACCAGCTACCGCACCAAACGAGAAAGAGCGTCGAGGAGACCGATCAAAATAAAATAAAAGGAGAACGGGGAACGCTTCCCACACCCGCCTATGTGTGTGGGTGTTGTCGTCCTATTTTTTTTTTTTGAGCCCCTCTAGCTGATGATGGTGAATACCACACCCCCTCTCTAGCTGATGATGATGAATACCACCCTGACTCTCGAAGTCACGGGGTCGAGTCCGTGTGGAGATGTCTTTGTTTTTCCAAGACATAATTTTTTTTGGTCATCTACGTTCTTTTTTGATTGATTGGCGCCCCCCACACCTAAATCAATATTCTGCTGATGCTGCGTAGCAAACGGGCCAATGATAGCAACGTACGAGCCTACTGCAGGCACGTTTTTCAACAAGAAAATATTCCACCTCCCGATCTAGTTCTTTGGTTAGTGACCTGCAATGGTATATGACCTGCAAAGTCTTAAGATTGGTCATATTCCATTGGTGACCTAACAGTCCCGCGGGGGACCCGCGGGAGCAGAGGACTGCGGGGTTGGTTCCTGTGGGAAAATACTACTTGCGTGTCTATAGATCCTCGTGGGACCACACACCAGCCGACAGCACGCTGCATGACAGCAGAGAAGCAGCAGAGCGACAGAACAGACGAGCGTTAAGGATGGCTGCCTATACCCACCCATCAACATGGCCACACGTGATATCGACCTTGGTCGGCTTTCCGTTCCCCCACCTTGAAGACTGCAGGTGAACTGGTTCGCACCCACATTTGCTTCGATGATCGGCATGCAGACAGGTTTGCGTCTTCGTGTGACCTACTTGCTTGTGTTCAACCCAACACTGCTTGCACAAGCAAGAGGTGCCTTGACGAAACAGCACATCTGCTGACCTTCCCGGCACCGCCGACATGAAACGCACCCGAACAAACCCACCCCGCAGCAATCAAGCACAATGATGATGCCGTGAGTCCTCGCGTCCTAGTTGTCGTCATGCTTGTCACCAACATACGAATAGTTGATTTCAGGTGCAACGGCGGCTCTCCCGCCGCTGCTTTTTTAGTGTCGTATGTATGAGTACAGCACAGCTGAAATGCAAACACCTTGTGTTGTTCGTACGCTGCTGTGGCTGTGGGTGCGCAATTGAGGCGGCTGTAGAGGAGCGATCGATGCCTGTTGGTGGCGAGCACCCTGGAGATTGCCGGAGTGCACCAAGACTCATCGAACTCTCTTTCAAACTTGTTAGTGCTGCTGTTGCCGTCGTACATCAACCCCCACACATCCATGTTCGTTCCCGCCGGTTGGCGGGGTTACCCGATGCACACTGTTTCCAACCCTTCCCTCGCTCGGCTCAGAAAAGCCACTCTCGCGACAAAGCCTCCTCGTGCACCCCGATGTCAACTGCTTCGCGCTCCGCCTCACCAATACACCTTGGTGGTGGACGACCGACCCAAACCAGGCAAGAGATCGTGCCGGGGCCGGCAGCGACGGAAGACCCCACCTTGGTTAGATTGCCGAGCGGCAGGACTTTCTGGCTCCAGAGGCGATTGGTCGATTCGATTTTCGGCGCAGTCTTCCACGGTATCGAGGGGTGGTGGCCCGACCCTTACGAGTGAGAAACTACAGCAGTTCCTGGGTCCTGGTGTCCAGAGTAGGTTTTTCGGCCGACTGCTGTAAGAAGAACTCGCAGTTGTGCAGAGTGGGTGTTCATGTTTGTTCGCGGGTAGATCTTTCGGCCGACTGTGCTGGAACTACGATAAGAACCCACATTGTGTAGCGTGATGTTCAGGGTTGCTTCTTCGCGGGTAGAGTATATCGGTCGACTCTATTCAGGATTCTGCAAGAACCCACATGTAGCGTGGTGTTCAGGGTTATTTATTCGCGGGCAGATTTTCGGTCCACTCTTATTACTTCGTGATAAGCTTTGCTTAGTTTCGAATGGTCTCTCGGCTAATGTGCTGTGCACTAACATGCTCCAGGGTGCGTGTAGTATTTTTGTAATAGAAATTGCCGACGCTTATGTATGTAGCTGAACAATCGACGAAGGCGGTCGTTGTTACTGTGTGCGAGGTATCTTAGAGGTTCGAATTTCGGCGACCCACCTACATTTCTGTAAGGCAGATGCTTGTCGAGGCATCACACGAGTCGAGAACAAGCAGTCACGTACTACATTTTAACACGACTGTCTCATTCCGAGCACATGAGCTGCCCTGCTCCAAGTCACGGCCAATTAGGAATTTCAGCAGCAACTGGCGGCGATGCAGTATAGCACCTGCCATACACAAGGAGAAGAATGACGGGTGTCATTATTCCGATGGTTCAAGCGCCGACAATGCATGTTGGCGCCGGTGTGGCCGTTCTGATGGTCCTAGAACTATTGAGCCGTTTTGTCCAAATAGCGTTGTCATGGTGCATAGCACAGTGCTCCAGAGGAGTGGGCCGAGCACCTGACCCTGGGGAAATCGGCTTGTCACAGCTCCCTTGGGACTGCGTGCACCCGGGGTTGCGTGTTGCCGGGTTTCAGGTACTGGACGCGCATCGATTCCGCCGTTTAGATCAGTACGTGTGTAAGACGGGGAGGGTATGTACGTGTAGCGCACGTTCCGTTTTTGCGGTGTTATGTGTTGCTGTTGACCGTGCTGCCTGCCGCCCCCGCATTTTTTTCTTTTGCGCGCGTCAGTTCGGCGACTTTTGTTACACCCTTCAGAGAAGAGGAGCAGACCCACGTGGCGGTAAAGATGTCAAGCCTGGAGAGAATGGCAACAGTTTCGCAGGAGAACGCCTTCAAAGAAATCGCCGTCATGGTAAGTGGGATTACGCTTCGGCAGTGCAATTTCTCACGCTGGCCGGTGTGCATGGGGCCATTTACGACGAGGCACGACTGACTGTTTGTACCGCCCATTCCGCTGGCAACTTCGGGGTCGGGGGGTTGGCCAAGTTGCACAAGTAGAGTAGGAGCAACCCGACTGTTACTTTTGTCGCAAATGCGACGGGGACACACGGCGTCCGCGATCCGAGCCAGCTGATTCAGCCACGGAGCTGCATGGTCAGCGTCGGGTCCACTGCTGTTGTGGAATCGCCGCGGACATTGCTTGTTCATGACTATGTTTTTAGTTCTGTCCATGTCCCTCATCTCAATCCAACCGTTTCACCCTCCCCTTTCTGCGTCTATCTGTCCGTCCGTGCGTTGTACCAACCACATTTCTTTTTGGCCGTCTGGCTGACGTTGCAGAAGCACTTGATGCAAGGGGGTGGGCACCGGCACGTAATGTCGGTGATATCAGCGTGCATGTCGAGGTGAGTCTCACGCTGCCACTGGGCAAGCAGCAGCCCGCCTGGGTTGGGTGTGCACCTCAATCCGATGCGAATGTTGCACCTGAGGGCCGGTTGATTGCTGTTTGGTGACTTGTGTCACCGGTGAGGCGCTTGTAGATGTGTTTGGAAGAAGTCGTAGCGTGATCGAGGCGCTTCAGGCTTTGATGCAATGCTTTGTTTTTTCTAGAGAAGTTTCTTGGCCAACGTTAGACAGTATCTGGGACTCTGACGGAGTCGATTAGTCGGCCTCCTCCTGTACACACGCAAGCACAAGCACCATGATACGGCACAACAGACGGTGGAAAATAAACGTAACAGCGGTGCTGCTTTCGGCGACAAAGATCGGCGCTGAGTTAAACTTCCACACGATAGTATTGGTCATCTTGCTTGGGTGGAGCCAAAGTATGAAAATATATGCAGCAATCGCCGTGATACGTGGGAGCCCGCATTCTGCCAATCTTGTCTCTGGTATTTCGATCCTACTCCTTTCCATGGGATTGAGCGATCATTTTTTCTGTCGGCCGTAGGAAGAACCTTCGTTTGCACTGCACTCGGTGGGGTCCGGGCTTCGACGTGAACGCTGTAACTGCCATGTGGGTGAAGAAGCCATGTCTAGAGGGAGGTTGTTAGTCCGTCGCTAACGTAGCTGCTGCTGAAGTTTGGGCTACGCAGTGCAAGGTGATCGATTCGATCTTCGCGGAAACGGGTGAGGTGCGTTGCCTCTTTGCTCTCTACACGTCTTCCGAACGAGCAGTCTATGCCAGTGTTTCGTTTCCGAACGCATAATGGCCCCTCGTTGATGCACGTGCCTCCTTACGACACACCCACCTGCGATTCTTAGCTGCCGAACTGCCGCCCCCCCCCTTCTCCCCAGCACGCACTTGTTCGTGGTAACCCCCTTCTGCAATGAGGGCGACTTGCTTTCATGGGTAGAAGTGGACGGAATAGGCGAGGACAAGGCAAGAAGGTGGTTCCGGCAAATACTTCTGGGGTTGGCGCACATACACCAGCAGGTGAGGACAACCACGAAGGACCACTTCCAGGGGAAGGTGTGAGCGCGATGGCGGTGTTCATTCCTGGACGTAGGCTTCGGTCCTTTTTGCGGTATTTTTTCTTATCACATGCTTCCGTTTTCCGGTAAGAATGTAAGTTGTCTTTGATTTTTTGGCCAATTAAATGAACGCTCTTTGAGGCGATTTACGCTCGAAAGTATGGTTTGAATCTGTGCTTCTGCTCGGTGCATCCTAGCGTCGGCGAGTTATGCTTGGGCTCTGTGATGCTATTTTTGCTACAGTGCAAGTGCAACACACCGGAAGAAACTTCCTGAAACTCTCCAATGGTTCATACATGTTACAGCGGAGAGAACGACGGTGCCGTAACGGGTGGTACTGGAAGGGAAGGGTCTCGTCGAGATGAGATGACATTTTCAAACGCGTGTCGTTCGGCGATAGCGTTAGCACTGTCGTGGTTCCGGAACTGGCGGGCTTGAAAATTCGATCGATAGCAATGGGGCGTGTCTTCTTGGTCTTGCTTGGTTATTTCTTGTGCGGACTGCAAGTGGCCATTCCAATTACTGCTGTGGGTTTCATGCTTCTCAAAGGGGGCGAGTCAAGCAAGAAATTCCCTGCGACAAACACGGCAGGTGGGTTACGACCTGCTGAGTTAACTCTGCTGTTGGTGGTATTCCATATCAGGAGTAAGGGGACGCTGCTCCGCCTACCAACGAGTAGCATACCAGTATGTCTTTCTCTGAGGACGGTCGTCGTCGATCTTGCATCTCAGAAGCAGACCCCGAAAGAGAAGGCAGGCCTCATCCAATTCGATCGCGGCGTGTGAAGTGCGCTCACCAAGCCGTTTTCAACACAAAATATGCTAGGCTTCTGGTAAGGCTTGTGAGAGGAGGTCGATTTTTATTTCGGACGGTGTCGTGCGGCTGATGAGCTGCGCGTTGGACGTTGACCTGCTGGCGCGATGCGCATCATGACAAGGCCCCCTCTTCCCGCATAGGAGATGCTGATACCGTGTTCTCTTTCACAACCAACTTCCGTTTCAATGCAGCGCGGAATACACCCGGTTTAAGACTTTGAATCGTTGGTGAATAGTATCCCGCTTGGAAATATCACGCCCGATGCTGCGGCAGTTCTGCTGTAAGAATCTACAGAATCTTTAGTACTAACCTTCTGCAGTTGCCTTTGCTCGGCACTTGCTCTATGTAGCAAGCTTACCTCTTTGCCTTTATATTTGTCTCTGCTTTTATCGCTTCTCCTTCGATGTTTCTCGTCCCCCATCCTTCATCCGTCAGGGCCTCTGCCACCACGACGTGAGCCCTGAGAACGTTGTGATCACCAACAACGGGGAGGCGGCGGTGGTAATGGACTTCGGCATGGTGCAGCGACTGCAGACGGGTCCTAACGGACAGGTGGTTCCAATGCGCGACCAGCATGTGTTTGGGAAGATGAGGCAAGGTTTGAGGTTGGGCTTGAAAAACTGTTGCGTTCTCGTGTCTGCTGTTTCCGCTGTTGGTGTTGTTGCGGTTATTGCAGCTTTGTGTTCCACGAAGTATGTTTGTATTACGCCGGTCGATTCACCCATCAACTTGACTGGAATACATCTCGCACCAGGTGCGCGCTTCGACCACAACGCAGCTAACTTGTACCGAATGGAAACGACCGGTGCCGATATCGGAGGAAGAGGAGCCCTGTGTAGTCGATTGCTGCTCTTGCTGTCACAGCTTGTCCCTATATCCTCAACTGCTTGGAATCGCTCCCATCCCGTGTCGTAGTAAGTTACGAATGTGCCTACGAGAATGCTCGATCGATAGCATCTCAGCTGACCACCGACGTATGTGTTTTCTCCGGGATGAAATTTGCAGATACATGGCACCGGAGATCTGGGAGAACCGAGAGTACGACGGGCGGAGCGCAGATATTTGGTCCGTGGCGGTTTCGCTGCTGCTGTGCCTTGTCGGGGAGGAACAGTGGACGGCACCCACACGCGTACCGTTGGTGGATCGAGGAATCTATACGTACGTGTTGGTGACGTCTTATTGATGATTCATGTTGCCACAGGTACCTGTCGGTGACGTTTTTGTTGAATGATTCGTGTAACCATCGGTACGTGTTCGCGACGTTGCTGTTGAATGATTGATGCCGCAAAGCTACAGGTACGTATTGACGACTCTTTCTTTGAATGATGCATGTTATCGCTGCTATTGCTTGTTGTCGGTTGCAAGGGGGGCCGCCGCGATTTCCCTGCGTGTGTCCTGCGTATTGTCGCCGGCTCTTGTCCCTACTAAGGTACAAGTAGTCGAAGCCATTTTCCTTCCGTATAACGGTAACGTCTACGAGACTCGAACACTCCAAGACGCAACTTTGGAATCAGAGTTTCCCCCAGGTACTATCTACCATCACGGGTCATCGGGTACACTTGACGAGACCCCTAATGGTCTTCTTCTGCACGAAGGAAAAACATGTGTAGTTCAGCGCAAGTCGCTCACTCCCGCGCCGGATACCTTGGAGCAGTCGCAAGCGCTGAGTTGGATCAGGCTTTGCAGAGATGACGAACTTGTGGGCAAACCACTTAAGAGATGCAGCAGCAGCAGCAGCAGCAGCAGTCACGTCCACAGCATCACCAACAAAGACTACTTTCCCTCGCCACTTTGCGCAATTATACAGTTCAGACATTTACGGCTACACGATCTTGGAGGAGCACGGGGCAGGAATGATGCTGGAGAGGCGCAACTACGTGCGGAGAATGTCTACGCCTGCGGCGGATGTGTTGCGCAACACGCTGATAGTTGACCCTGATGCCCGTCCGACCTCGGCGACACTCCTCGCGCAGCTCCCCTTTTTCTCAGCGCAGACGTGAATGAGCCCTTACTTCTACTACTGCGGCGATTACGGGGGCTGCGTAGAGTCGATAGCCGGTGTGGTTCTTGGAGAACGAGAGCACAAAAGAGGTTTAATATAGTGGTGTTTTTTTCTCGTTTCTTTTTTTTCGCTGTTTTGTTGCGTCTTTTACCAAGGTGTGGTCCGGTCCGCACACGATGTGGATATTCGTTGCTCTTCGCTGTCTTTTAAGTCGTTACATGCTTGGCGTCTCCTCGGAATTTTTGTTGCGGTTAGGTGTCGCCTTGTCTCGACATTTGGGATGACATGCATGTGGATTTGAGGGAACCCTGTCGGTTATCGTTTCGCTTAAGACATTTGCAGAGGCATGCGTACTTGTGGCCAGGATTCATGGAAGCCTGCTGCTACTGCAGATCACTGCTGATACTGCTGTCGTCACTTCTTACGTGCGGCAATGGTGTTTGGAAGAACGTGCAACCATACCACAAGTGATTGACGCACGTGCTTACAGGTTGATGTGGTAATTTTGATTGGAATATGGGATGGCAGGTAATGCCGCTGCTGCTGGTTTGGTGTCGTTCGATACTAGCTTTTTTCTTGGCAGAAGTTTAGGCGCCGGTTTGGTGCATCAAGGGAGGCTTGAAACAGAAACGCTGTGCTGTTCATTGTCGTAGTTCCCAGTGCGACCCCATAAATATTATCTCCGTTGTAGTTTTTGGTGCCTTTGCGGGTCGTGGTGGTGGTGTTGACCGTCCTGGTATTTGCTTTTTTATTTTTATTTTTTCCCAACACGTGTGTCCGACCAAGATTCCTCGACGATGGACGCGATCGATCAGATTGAGCGCTCTCCGGCGTAGGTAGGTGTCTTGTGTTGGTATGATTTATTGCCGTGAATGTTGCTATTTCCCGTGTGTAGAGTACCACTTTTTGTACCAACATCTGGGTCATTATAGCGGAGTCCTTGGTTGGCAACTTGTGCTTATTGTCTCGGAACCGGTCCACATTCTTGCTGGCTGCGAAGTCGAAAACCAGCGAGAAACGTGACCCTGGGCAGCAGATGAGGTGTCAAAGTGGATATTTGAATATTTACCGCCTGCGCGTGATCCGCCTTGCGATGTTGTTTTCGTTGTTAAGGTGGGTCCTGCTTCATCTCCTCTTGCCTGAGGGGGTTCGATCTAAACAAAGAATAAAGTCGGTTGGGATGGGTGCCAATTAATGAGGTGGACCCGCGTGTGACACTGCCGCTCTTTCGGCACGCAGTGATGAACAATAGTGGCCAGGCAATGTTTTTTTTTTTTTATGGATTGAACCACGGGTAAAGATAAGCAAGGGGCTGGCGTTCTCTTTTGCTTAGTGCCTTCTCGGCATACATTCTTGGATCGCGTAGTTTAAGGGTCAATCCCAGCTGTTGACCCTCCTAGGCCTGGCTAGGCTTCTCCTTTCCCGCCTTGTATGTGTAGTGTACATAATTTCACATTGATTCTATACAGAGCAGCATCTACGCGCTGAACACTGTTCAGATAGGTATTCGGGACAGCCCGCAGAGATGTGGCCAGTCTCGCGACCATGGCGTGTCGCTAAGCGGACGCCTACCTACCGCAGTAGGCGGGCTCTCTCTTGTTTGGGTGTTGACCGGGGTGGTAATAAGACCGCTTCTAGACTATAGGCGGTGCTTTTGGGTAATCGTCGATTAGTTGTGAAGAGTAGGACGGCTTATTGGTATATTATCTGCTGTCGCTTTGTACGAACGCCAACGAGAGGAACGTGGGCAGTCGCCGAAAAGTTACTGACGTTTACGCGAAACGTGGGCAGTCGCCGAAAAGTTGCTGTTGTTTACGCGAAACGTGGGCATGGTTGTTGTTACTGGGTACGGAAAGGGTGGGCTAAAGCTGTGCAGCTGCGAGCTCCCACTCGCTCGGTGTCGTGTTTGATGGACAGAGCACGGGTAGCCAGCGATCGACACTGTACACCTGCTTGGTGTGAGAGTCTTCGTGCTCGCGAGGGGTATTGCGAGGCGGCAACACTCAAGAGCTTTGGATAACCTTGACAGATTCGAGGTGAAAACCGCTGGGCAACAAGCAGCTTGATCTGGCCGTATCTCATTCATTGTCCGGATGTGTGTGGTTGATAGGTCTCACTCAGGGTCTTGGATATATGCGAGCCCGCAGAACTAACTGGCCTCTAACACAGGGGTCGATTCAGAGGGTGCCCGTAACCGAGGGATCCAACAAAAGTGTCCTTGCAACGCCCTGTGCTAGCCGAACCCCTCATGGCGAATGTATTGAAAGTGAGTTTTGTTCTCTACCCCCTATTCCTACCCGGTCTTTGGCTCATTCCTGCAATTCATGTTGATTACCGTATCCCGAAAACGACATCACTTCCAGTCAGACGTCCACACCAGCGTGGTAGACTTTGCGAGCCGGCCCCTGCGATGCGTACGAGGCGGGGGAGGGTAAGTCCCACCGGCTAGTACATACCTCCCAAACCTGTGGTTGGTGCAGTGTGTCCGTGGGCTGCCGCACCCTGGTCTAGACTGCAGCATAAAACATACTCACTCACACATCACTCACTGAATCATTGGGCTCCTATTGGCGTAGTATCGACAAGCCAGCACCAACCAAGACACGGGAGTTGGAAGATTTATTATGTTTGCTCTTGACCTAAGAGTGTTTCTTTAGTTGATGAGTACTTCGGAGTATAATATGAAGCTGAGTGTTGGTCGTACTCGCCTTTTCGCTGACCTCGACCATCACGGTTCCGTCACGTGTCCCACAAATTCTATGGATCCTGTACCTCACGTGATACGTAAACACGTCTGCATGTTTCGTCGTCGTTGAAACCAAGTACCAAACCTGGAAAACTGACCTAATGAAACGGTTGAAGCAATGAAACGAATGAAGGTACTGTAAGCAATCGCCTGGAAATCCTCCACTGCACGGGAACAAAGAAGAGCGTACAGCACTACCAATAGCCTCTTTATTCTTTTTCTGCCGGGTTCGCCGTGAAGTCACCGGCGAAAAGCATATGATGGTCATCCTGAATCAAGCTGTTGGCGCTCGAACGTACCCCGCCGGGTCTTCCCCCTGGTGTCAGGTACGCACCGGTACTAATATACTGTGTTGCATTCACTGTAATTTTCGTGGCTCGTAGACTGCTATAACCACTGAGTTTCACACCAGACCGGCTGTCAACTCTCTAGTCGACCGTTATTTCATCACCAAACGTCCGCGGGTGCGTGTGCTGCCCACTTTCGCCGCAATTGAACCCTTCATGCTGTCATTCTCTGCCCCCGGCATTTAGCTCAGGCCTACTCGGCAGGTGTAACTGTTTCAGCTTCTCTGACCCAGCAGCTGGCAGGGTGTTTGACTCTTGCCGAGTTTCGAAACTATTTTTTCACTTTTGTGTTGCTTTAAGAAGAATGTGGACAAACGGAGTGACAGGGTGGTGCGGGCTACAATCTTGAAGATGACAACTTCTACCTTAGGTATTTCGCTCAGGCCTTTTCGGCGGGCGTAACTGTTTTATTGCCTTTTCGACCGAGCAATTGGCAGGGTGTCTGAATCGCCTAGTCTGGAAACTATTTCACCACTGTGCTGCTTGAATGACGAAAGTGTTCGCCAAACGTAGTAAAAATGGTTTTTGGTTTTCGGGCTACAAATGTCTCCTACCAGGCCCGGTCCGCAACCGCGCGACCATCTGCACAACCTTTGCAGTGATGCTCGTTTTCGCTGACAAAGAGACGTGTGCGTTTCCCTCAGCCCATCCGAAATCACTGTCCTGTCGAAACGAGATTCATATCGCTTCCTTTGCACGTTCTTCTCGTGCAGCTGAGGAAAGCAGGAGGGAGATGGCACAACGTGAAATAAAAAATGAAACGGAATGAAAGTGATGGAGGAACCTGGAATCAGTGACACAAGCATATGTCCGATGTAGGCCAATAGCTGTTCGTATTCCTCCCATCACACCACTTCCAGGTTTGGCATTGCTTGATGCTGTTTCCATTTGTAGGGTGCATATGCGCAGTACGATTGACACGCGGTCGATTGTATGTTTATGTGGGGGAGAGCATGACAGGCGAGAAGCCGGCACGGAACACCCCGAATAGTTTGTAGGGGTGTGGGGGGGAAACGTCTTTGTTGGTGTTCGAATGATTCGCAGAAGTGATACATGTGTCTTGACCTCCTAGCTTCTTACTCATTTGCAGCAATTCAAGGGGCATTGTCTGTGAAACTCCTCCGGTGAATTTCACTCCAGGGACAAGGATTGGACCCCTCGACCTGTGTGGATGTGTGTTTCACTTAGTACCCCTACCGACTTCCTTTTTCCCGGCATCCCTTGCTATTCAAGAATGTTTCTTTCGTACTGAATCTAGCGAAACAAGGCTGCTTCTTGGATGCACCCAGAATTTTCGCGCACACAGCAAGCCCCGGTAAGTGTTTTCTTCCAGACAACGTAAAATTTGCACCGTTCCATGACATCCGAAACACATCGCGTACATACTACTCTCCATACCAGAGTTGTGATCAGCACACGCCAGTGTGTGTCTCTCTTCGTTTCTGGAGCGTCTAAGTGCGCCGATTAAGCATCACGTCATGGGTTGACCGCCATAGTCACCCAAGTAACAGGAGATTGTGGTACCCCGTCCGTCCCACCACTAGCGTCTTCCCTTGCTGCTGCCGCACTTACGCCTGCCAGAATCACTCCTGCTCCATCCCTGTCTCCCCTGATCTTATATATGCTCCGCGACTGCCCGTCGGCCAGTCGCAGATGGTCCACGAAGCTCGGCCACAGCAGCACCAGGCAAAACTCGTCTGAAACCGAACTTTTTGACACGTCCCCTTCGCTCACACTCGCCTCCCCTTCGCCTCCTCTTCGATGGGTCTGGCTTCCCTCCTGCATCGTTCCTGTAGCTCCACCATCGTCCGAGTGATCGGTATGCGGCTCCGGCGGGACCCCTAGTCCCGGTATCAAGGAGCTCTCGAAGGAAGTTTGCGAGGCTGGGCTGATCTGGGTCCATTGGTGTCGCCGCGCCTTGGCCAGGGCCTCGTCGCTCTCTCCGGCATCGACCACCTGGAGCCGCCCCTTGACCCGAAACTGCTCCCGGGTTTTCTTCAGGTAAAAACAGACTTCTCCGGCTGTGGCAGAGGGTTGGGGGGGTTGATTGGGCATTGGCAGTCAAGTCTTATCAGATCTATGAATACGTTGCCATGGTTGCACTTGACCTCCGCAACACCCGATACGAATGACTTTTGCAAGCTGGCACCGAGATGAGTGGCCTTTGCAAGCGGGTCCGCCAAAATGACTGGCTAAAGGACCCACCCACCTTCAAGGACGTATATTTGTTTCGTCAGTGCATACGGACGGTGCCGAAAAATCGTGATAGGAGGGCGCGCAAGACGACTGCTGCGGGGGGGGGCAACGACATCCGAGGGAAAACGATCGATACAGCATTCATCACATGCTCAAAAGAGCGTGTACAGATTGGTGCCAGCGGTGGTTTGTGCCTGCAACATCGATTGGGGCGGGAAGATTGGCACATGAGAGCACCCAACTTGGACTTGTTTCGCAGCGATTTCACAACTCCGAAAAGTGAATCATACAAAACCTTTGAGGGGTTCAAGCCAACCTGGTCGAGTTTTCGCAGCTACACAAGGAAGTAGACCTCATCTACTGCAGGTTACCAACTGCACCGATTCGACCGAGCACAACCCCCCATCCCCCCGCCTACACAGCAGTACTTGCTCACCGGGATCAGCGGCAATCTCGGGGACCTTTTGGCTCCTTCTATCAGTAACAAACGTAAGGGCACCCTTGTCTTCGTAGAACCCTCGGAAGACCCAGGTTCTGCAGGAAGCCCCGCCGCCGATCGCCGCCGTTGCGAGCTGGCAGTACTTGGCTGTTGGGTCGTTCTTGTGCCGTGCAATACTGGAAACAAGGTTTGCAATCGCCCAAGCCGAGCATGAACGCTGGGATTAGCTGCTCGCTTGATATTCCGCGGATATTTGAAAAGAGACGTTGCAGGGTAGTACATATGTGATGTACAGCAGTACAGTAAATCACGTCTTCAGGTGTCTATGGTACATTATTGTGGTACATGTGCTGCAGTCTACCACCGTACCGCACACACAAATAAACCAACAAATCATCCGCACCAGGTACAACCTTGAGAGTCAATCTTGCGCCCACACAACCGTATCAACACTTGCCCGATGTTTGTCAGACTCGGTTATACATGAATAATCATGCATATCTCTGACGCACAAGACGTCGCGAAGATACGTATTCTAGATTCGAGATTCAGCACAAATGTATGTGTATGATGCTCTGTACCACGATGATGCCGCCGTTGGAAAACGGCCCTCACCCTTTTTGTAGTAAAGCTTGCCATGTTGGTATAGATGCTGTTCCGGTGGACGCTGCCGCCATAGCTGTTACTGCTGCACCCCGACCAGAGGCGGAAGACAGGCTGGGAGCAAGCTTTGTCCAAGAGGTGATTCTCATCGGGGAAGGAAGTACGTATTGGGTAGAGCAACAAAGGACAGAAAAACAAAAGTGCGACACAGCGGCACGACACCTCTGACGCACATCTCCTTGCTGGACTGTTGTTTTCCGCCCCCCTCCCAATAACCCATATGATGGTACTCCCAGAGGATCCAGCTGCGTGTGCCCTCTGTGGCCCTGCTGTGGGCCCTGAAATCAAGCCAGTCCTCACAGCTCACGAACACGCGACGTTTGCTTGGTAGGCCACACACGAACACCCGTGGCAACTAGTACTTGCATAGCTCACGCAAGCAGCGAAGATAAGCAGTAAAGCAGTAACCGTACCGCTGTAGCTCCTATGGCAGAAAACGTCAGCGGCAGCCAGCGAGGAGCTGGGTACGAGGACGTACGCAGCGATGAGGCGGTCAAGCTCGCGATGGATCTCATCGACGTCGAGAGCCTCAGCGGGCACGAGCAGCCCATGGCCGTCGTGCTCAAGGAGTGGCTAGAGAAGAGAGACTGGGTCGTGAAGCTGCAAGAGGTAGAGCCGCAGAAATCAACTGTGGATGGTAAGGTGCGACACAACGTCTACGCCCGGCGCCCTGGTATTTCGGCGACAAGGACGGAAGGGCCTCGCGTGCTCTTCAACAGCCATATCGACACGGTATGTGTGTTGGTGGTTTTCACTGCCTTGTCTTGGTCGCGGTCCGCCTTAGTGGTGCTGCACGGCCGTGTGTGACGAGGTAGCGGTGTTTCTAAACATGAACAAGGCGGTACTGCTGTATGCAGTTCTATAGACTAATGCAGGAGTCGATACAAAGAGAAGGACTGGCGAAGATAGAATCCTCCGTTCGACTCTCTTGGTACGCATACATGTATACGACGGTTCGTGCTCATCGCGAATGTAGGACGACATTCTCCGCTTTCGAGGTGCCTCATGAGGCGGTGTGTGTGGGCGCACGGCATCGGCTGCTGTTTGTGGCCATGCTGAGGCACATGTCCAACAGGGGTCACAAACGTAGCGACCACCTCGCCCAAATAATCCTGCTGCGGAAAACATACATCGACGTGGGCTTGAGCTGGCGTTTGCAGGTCGGTCGCAGCCAAAACTTGACGATTTGTCTTTTGGTACTCCTGCTGAACATCCTCGTTTTGTAGTTCGGCATTGGCCGCTGGTCGTGAAACTAACCTATATTATTGCCTCTCTCAGAACACAGGAGACCTGGCGCAATAATGACACGTCAACAAACACTTGCGTTTTCGCGTTTGCTGGTGGGGCGCAGTGTCAAAACGGGACGATGCGCCGCGTTTTGGCACGCCTGCGCTGGTCTGTGTATCATCTCACGCCACAGGCCGCTGTATGCGGCCATGATTGCTTCTCATACTTTTTCGACAGTTGACGCATAAAGCAACCCCAAATTCTAACCCCCAAGTTGTTTTCAAAAATAAGAAGTAACGGCCTGAAGATTTATTATTCTTTGATTTTTAAGCCGTGTTGTCCGACACCTCCTCCACACTCTACAAAGGCGCCGCCGTGCATTTCGGGGGGCACGAGATCACTCGCCCACGATACGGCACAGAACAGACAATAGAGTTTTGAGTTCAGTTTGACCACAAAGGGTGCGGCAGGAAAGCAAAAAATCAGAGCGAGTGTTGTCCATCGGTGCTCCGTCGAAGAGGTCCGAACGAAAATGAACACCGCGAAGCTTATCCCTGCAGGTCCCTCCATTTTTCGGCGCTGAGCTGTGCGACGTTGACGGCGAGATGATCATCAAGGGACGAGGGGCTTGCGATACGAAGGTGGGACAAGCGTGCTATTTGGTGCAACTCCCCGCTACCACATCGGTATCAAATGCCGTCGCCAGCTTTTATCCGACGGCGCATTCATGGTACGAGAGTACGGTATGTCAGTCGTGTGCACGAGAAAATCACAGGTGTTGGGCTCTCTTCCAGCGAAGGGTGGAGTAGACAACTCACCAAACATCACGCGTGGCTGTGGACGTGTGGTTGTTGATTGGCGAGGACCCCTTTCCATAAGGACGAAAGTAAAGGGGTATGCATGCAGGCCTGAGCGAGATTGTGCGGCAATCGCTGACGGCAATGATGATTGTGCAAGCCGGGTAAACAACCGCGCGCGTGCAGACGGCTAGCTGCTTGGCTAACACGCCAGAACGCCGGCCGTCTAAGATTGGTTCAAGCGCTAAAAACGATCAGACCCTTGTTATTCCTTTGATCTTCTATTCCCTCGCCAGCTGTGTGGAGTCCGTACTCCACCATCTCCCCAACTTTCACCTGAAAACAGAGTGCTTGCAGCGGACAATCTGTGCTTCGACTGCTCTGACACCTGTCAGTTTCTTGAATATTCAGCGCGTTCTGTAACCTGGAACTGAATGTTATCGCAGGGCATTCTGGCGGCACAGCTGCTGGCACTGCAGGCTCTGGCGGACGAAGGGGTGGATGACATCGGACTGCTGTACGTCGTATCCGAGGAGACGGATCACAGCGGGATGATCAAGGCCAATGAACTGGGTGAGGTGGCGTGTGCGGCACCAAGGGTTGGAGCACCACGTAGTCGGGTCATGTCTCGTGAATGTGCTGCGGATGCAAGAACAATGCAGCACAGGGGGTGCTTCCTCTCTCTCTCTCTCTCTCCCTCTCTCTCTCTCTCTTAGCAGCGTTCCTATCGCGAGAGTTCGAGTGCCCAAACATATTCCTTTCGGTCTCTCGAGGGCATAAGAGCGGCCAGAAATCCTACCCCCGACTTCCTGTGAAGGCCCGGTGCTGAAAGTGCGCATGAACTGCGCTTGTCTTCTTCCGGGATTCGATAAATCACCTATCGATTGGTTGATGACGAACGCCCCCAAGAACGATGCATTGGAAACGTCTGCGTGATCCCACGAACAAATCGCGTCCAGCAAAGAACAGGATGCACAGCCTAACTGAGGCAACACGTGAACATACATACCAACACGAAGTCTCGTGCACCGGGAACAAGCAGACAGGTCAATGTCGTGCCCCTCTCTCAAACATCACCAGGCATACATTGGTGCAACCTTGACTTCGGTCTTTTTTTTTGTCCTCCGCAGTACTATGAGCAACGGCTTAGCCCATGAACGGTGCGTAATGTTGTTTTGTGGCGCGTGTGACAGGGCTGGAGCCGGGCTACATGATCGTGGGCGAGCCGACGGGGTCGAAAATGATGCGACTGCAGAAGGGCATGCTGAAAGTCCGGCTCTCCTGCCGGGGTGTGGCGTGCCACAGGTGTTCGCGCTCTGTCACGCATATATGTAGCGTTGTGACGTCGTGATGTCATTTGGTACCCTCTTACCCCTGAAGAGGTAGGTGTGCACGGTCCTCTCGCAACATGAGAATCCCCCGACAGGAGAACTGGTTGCCCACCTAGCAACAGATTTCGCTACCTTCGGGGAAAGCAAAAAGGTGCTAGGTACGGTATACCAACGGGTGATTTCGAGCTGGAGGCTCAGAGTTTCACTTCTTCCCCGCGATTCATAACCACCCGCTCGCAAGTCAACTGGGGAATGGGGGAACCTATCCTAGAATGTCTGCATCCCGATTATTCACGAGCCTGCTTTACGCTCCGCCTCTCCCTTGATACCTCTCCCCCTATCGACATGAAGTGGCTACCCCCACCTGGGGGTGTCAGCCATAGACCCGCTGGTGGAAGTGCTCCATGCCATCAAGCACCGCGCGTGGCCGTCCAGCGAAGAGCTAGGAGAGACGACCGTCAACATCGGCCTCGTCGAGGGCGGCCAGGCGGCCAACGCTTTGGCGGAGGCCAGCGAGGCCATCGTCATGTTTCGCCTGATTCAGGAGCCGGAAGGGGTGCTCGACGCCGTCGAGGCTCTCGCAGCGGAGCACGACTGCGCGGTTGAGGTGATGACGAAATGACAATTATCCGTCGTATTTTTCTTTAAGAGCTGACGTGACACGGGAAACTCGCAGCCCGCGGACTTAACCGCTAATTGTCGTTGAAATCTGTTGCTGATAAGGCACCGCGGTGGGAGCAGCCGCAGCAGCCGCAGCAACACGGCAATTGTTCACAAATTATGGTTACCTCTCGGGAGGGGAATCAGCGGCTGGCATCATCCATACGCTACGCGACCAGTTTCTTGCCAAACGCGAACATGGGCCAGTTTCGCGTCTCGCTATGCTCGCTACAGCTTGGTTTCGGTCCACCACAAACATTTTGCTGTCCCTCTGCCGTTGTTCTTCGCCACGTTCAGGTCATCTCGAAAAATGCTCCGGTATCGCTGGAGGTGCTTCCGGACTTCGAAGCGGATGTGGCAGCTTACAACACGGACATCGCGTGAGTTTGTTGGGCGTGGGAGACGAGTGATTTTTTCACCAAGTTTCGCACTCGGTGCATTACCACCGTGGTATCGCGTTAGGGCCCTTGTCATCAATTTCCCTGTCCATGCGTCTTTTCTTGCTCTGGAGTGTCCGCTGGGACGATGCCAGCACTGTTGCCGCGCGAACTACTTCCAAGCCTGTATACGACTTTTGACATGTTGCAGTCATTGGAGTGCCGTTTGCTTACTTCTTGTTCGCAAAATTATGCCTGCAGACAGCGGCCCTCCTTCCATTCCGCGGTGAATTGCGTCGCAACGGCACCCGCAGAAGATGAAATAGACAAAACTTATGCTGGAAACCTCGCTGCCTAATCCCTCCTCCTAAAATTAACTTAAAGGTTTTTGAATTATTTTATTCAAAATCAGATGAATCTTTATCCCTAGTACGAGATAATGGCAATAATAACGAATATATTTTTAAACTATTTAAATTTGTTGAAAGCTGGAAATCCTGATGATAAAAAAGGGATTAGGTGGTTTAATTATCATTTTTTTTATGTTGTCGTGGATTTATTCAGGTACTTCAAGCTGCCCAAGGGGCGGGCGCTGCTCTATGGCCCCGGCTCCATCCACCACGCCCACAGCCGAATAGAGAAGATCGGTGTGACGGAGCTCAAGGACGCCGTAGAAGCGTACAAGAAGATCGCCAAGAGCTGCCTAGGCCGACCACCGCCGTGAACTGCCGGCGATGCTCTTTTGCCGAGGGATGTTTGTCATGCTTTTGCTTAGAGTGTTTGTCGTGCTTTTGCTTAGGGGTAGAAAGACACGAAAGAGTGGAAGGTACCGCGTGTCTCGTTCGTTCGCCTTGTGGTGGCCAAAGAACATGCCTGTTGTTCGTAGAAACACGGAGGAAAATATACGATGTGGTTGTATTGTGGAATCCCGTAGGTCAGAGTATCCTCGATAAGACGAACACATAGTCCTTGAGGGGTGCTATATGTGTGGCCGTCGAGTGAGTTTGCAGTTCCTTCTAGCACGAAATAGTGAGTGAAGATGGTGTACCGCAAGAGGCGGAGAGATGCCCTCTAGACCGATTTTCAAAGCTCGCTCGCTCCACAGCCAAGCTTGTGCCAACACCACAAGTGGTGGCGTTAAAACATGTCGACTGCTTTCCGTAGACGTATCGGGCTCTTTACACACCCACTTCGATACGGAGCAATCGACCTTTGAAAGTCAGTCTAGGGGGGGTGCCATCTCCTCGCCCTTTGCAGTACCTTGTACTAATGAACGCGTTTGTGTGTTTTTTCGTTTCGACTGTCGCACACGACCTTGATAGAAACGAATCGAGTCTAGATGCACGCCATAATTTCTTCAGCAATCGATCATACGGAGACTACACGCGGAGAGCGAGAGATAAAGCTGTGCAACGTGTCTCGACTTTTCAAACGAGCGAGAACAGAAACGGAGCATCGTATATCATAGCTTCATTGTCTGACATACTCAGAAAGGTGTGACGAGCTCGCCAATGGGCACTTCGCAGGTCTGCCGATCCTCTCACCCAAACTGTCTCTGATCCGTTCGAAAGAAAAAGTCAAGACACGTCGTGAACAGCATTATACATTCCCACTCACCACGAAAACGGACAACATCGTCCAAACCACCGACAAAGAGAGAATAGACAAATGGAACGTCCAAAACTGATCTCGCTTGCCGACTTGTCCAAAAGAGCGAGAGCGATGAGCGGGAAATAAAGACGGCGTCATCGAGACAGCGTGGTGCCCGTCTTAAATATTGCACGTACTACCGAAGCGACTTGCCGTCTAGCTCGCACGGAAAGTATGCATGCGTGCACCGGAAAAACCCGCCACGTGTCCCTCTTTTGGAAAAGTAGAAAAACAAGCCAATCTCTCGCGCTGGTCAAAAGCTTCATTCTCCGAGGGCACTCCAAGTCTCTTGTAGTGTCCTGCTAGAACTTCCCTTTTTCCCTTCCCACTGCTGACTAATCCACCGTTCACACCTCGCAAAGTTGCGACCCCTGTATCCCCCCCTTGCGCGGTCTTCTTTACCATCCACTAATCCCTTCCCACATCTGCTTGACGTTCCCCTCCAGACCTCCGTTGGCCTTCTGCACTACTTCGTCCCAAATACACTTTCTTCTTCTTTTTCACTAGTCCCTTCACTCGTTTTCTCTTGGCCCTGTACTTTTCCCAACTCTCCTCAGACGCCTCACTCAGGTACTGCTTGAAGACTTCTCTACGTTCGTTCCCGTATTTCTTCTTTCAGCTCGTCATCCCACCACTAAACCGATACCCCACATCGTACCACCTTCTTTCCCACTACTCCCTCGGCCGTTGCGTTCACGATGGACTCCCACCCTTCAATCACCCTGTCCCCTGCTGCTTGTACGTCTCCCTGTCCGTCTTCGACGATTCTCAGCAGCTTCCTGGAGGGTTCTACACAACCAGCCAGTCCCTTCTGGAATTCATCCCCTGTCCCCTCGTTTCCCAAACGCTCTACCTTCCACCGGAACACTTTGCTCTGTTTCTTACTCTCCATCTTTCTAGATCGGTCGCAGGGGGGGGGTAGGATATTTTCGCGGCGGCCCCCGCGCCCCCGCTCGGCGCCGCCGCGGGCTGCGCCATACCCACCAGCCACTGCTGCTGTAGTACTGGTGCGTGTGTGTTGTTCTTTTCGCCAGAAAAAGAAAATAAGGAACCAAGTGATGAGCAGGATGCGACAGCCCAAAGGAATAAGAAATCCGTTTAAAGGAATTGGGCCGACTTCGGCTGGTCCTCCTGCCCAAAATAAGAAATCGAGGCTCGACCAGATTTTGACGTTTCTCATCTCCGAGCCCGTACTGTATTGTAGTGGTATGATGGTACTGCCGCCCCGGTGGTCTAGTTGGTAACCTCGAAACCTTCTAGATAGAGGCCAGGTCAGGGGTTCGAATCCCGGTGTAAGCGAGCTTTTCTTGCAAAGTGAGTTTTTCTCTCGCTTCCGCTCCTGGCCTAGTTGTTGTTTGTTGTTGTTGTTTCTCACATTAGCTCTAAAAAAAAAAAAAGATTGGGAGCCCGTGGTCTCAAAACCCGGCATACACGACCCCACGAAGAAACAGAAAAAAATAGGGTACAAAAACCACTCGGAAGAGAAACAAAATGATAGAAAGAAAGACCAGCTACCGCACCAAACGAGAAAGAGCGTCGAGGAGACCGATCAAAATAAAATAAAAGGAGAACGGGGAACGCTTCCCACACCCGCCTACAACGCCGGAGGGTTCCGTGCCGGGTTCCCGCCGACCAGGCATCCCCCGCCCTGCACCACACCCCAGGGGGTGCAGCAAGACGGGGGGCGAAAAACAAACACATATATATTCCCATAAAAAAAAAAAAAACGAAGGACAACGTACACCAGTACCAGGTACTACAGCAGTGCAGTATGCACCAGCGCATTAGTGTAGGGTAGGCACCGCACCAAAGAGGCAGCAGAGGTGGCAGGCAGCCAGCAAAGGAAAAAACAAAAAAAAAAAGGAGCTCGAGGTATCGTCCAAGATCATCGTAGAGAGGGCATGGAGAACAAGAAAGAAAGAAAGAAGAAAAGCACAAAGAGAGGCCGGAGGCAATACTAAGAGCATACAGCTTACGGCAGGGAAAAGGGAACACAGGGTGCGACAACATCATCAGTTGGGTACGTCGTTCGCCGCAAGCGCGGCCTTGGCCGCCCTACTCGCTTCTACAGCAGTGTCCGGTCGCTGTTTCTTCCCCCCCCCCGCCGCTTCCCCGATTCTCTTTCTCTTCGGGCCCGGGGCGGCCGTACTCTCCGTCTCTGCTTCCTCCGCGCGCTGGCGCTGGCGCTTCGCGGATGCTTCCGCCTCCTGTCTGTGCCATTTCCTCATGAACCATGCCGCCCCGTCCTCGATCTTGTCGTACCACGCCTCCTGGTCCTTGGCGCTCTCTTTCCATCTCCCCCCCTCCTTCTCCTCTTTCATGCCAAACGCCACGAGGTCCTCTCCTAGGCGATACACCCAGTCGCTCTCCTGCCCGCCCCGGTATCCGGTACCCCCCGCCATCGCTCCCAGCAGCATGCGCTTGGGGAGGCGGTTGTCCTCCATGCGCATAACGAAGCCCGCAAAACACAGCCTCCGTTTGCGCACGGTGGCCTCGATGGTTTCCTCGCAGCCGGCCTGGATGAGGGCCTGGGCGTAGGACAGGGGTCGGTCTGAGCGCTTCCGCTTGCTCCAGCCGATACACCGTGTCAGGAACTGGCGGTGGGTCCCATTCAGCTTGGTGTAGTGCTCCGCTGCCAGGCTCCACGAGGCGCACCCGTATAGGAGGGTCTGCACCACTTCAGCCTGGAGTAGTCGGATCTTGAGCTGGCGGTTGGCCCGTTTCCTGTCGTACATCGAAGTGCTGTTCCGGCGGTAGCACTTCCATGCTCGGCAGATGCGGCTCGTGATCTCCCGGTCGACCTTCCCATCCGCGCAGATGGTACGTCCGAGGTACACAAACCGATCTGTCTGCTTGTACGTCTGGCCAGCGGCGCTGACCGCGAACGGGCGTTCCCCCAGCCCTTTCGGTAGCATGCACATGATCTCCGTCTTTGGCTCCGATACCATCAGTCCGAACAGGCCGGCCACGCGCACGATGATGGACATCATCTTTTCGAGGCTCTCCGGCGTGAGCGAGACGATGGCCGCGTCGTCAGCGTAGAGCATGTCCCACAGGGCCTCTGCGACCGTCACCATCATCGCCTTCTTCCCCGCCGACCTGCCCCTCTTGCCCGTGCACTCCACTCGTGTTGCGATCTTGATCATATCCGCCGTCACCTTGGGGTCCTTGTCGAACTCGGTCACTGCGACCATGCGCATCGCGGCAGAGAACAAGTTGAACAGCAGCGGGGCCAGGTTGCACCCCTGTCGGAGACCTTGGCCGACGTCAAACCATTCCGAGTACTGCCCGTCGTCCGTTCGAACCCGCGCCCTCATGCCCTCGTGGAAGTGGCGAATGACCGCCAGCATCTTCGGGGGCACGCCAAAGCGTCCGAGCACGTCCCACAGCAGATCTCGGTCCACCGAATCGTACGCCTTGGTGAGATCGACGAAGCACGCGAAGACCGCAGTACTCTTCTTCCTCGCGAGCTCATGGAGCCGCTGGATCGCGAACAGCATGTCGAGCGTCGACCGGTGTGGGCGGAAACCGCTCTGCTCCTCCGGGAGGATGCCCTCTCGCTCGCAGTAGTGGCTTAGGCGTGTTGCAACGACCTTAAGCAGCACCTTGCCGGCGTGTGCAACGAGAGAGATGCCCCGGTAGTTGCCGCACTCCATCGTGTCCCCCTTCTTGAACAGAACCTTGATGGTGGCGTCCTTCCACTGCTGCGGTACGTTCCCCGTCTGCCACACGTCCACGACGATGGCGTGGAATTCGCGGAGGAAGCCTCGGTCTCCATCCAGGAACAGCTTGATCAGCTCAGCCGGTAGGTCGTCCGGCCCGACGGCCTTCCTGTTGGCCATTCCCCGCACCGCCTCCTCAACCTCGAATAGAGACGGGATGTCGTCGAGCGGAACGCACGTGGGCCACTGCTTGACTCTGTCGGTCGCATGCAGGTCGATGGTCGGCGACTTGGTGTTAAGGAGCTTGTGGAACCACCGCGCCCACCGCTGGCGGGTAAGCGTGGGGTCCCGAAGGACCTTACCGTCCTCGTCCTTGATGTTCTGGGAGGTAAGTGGCCTCTTACCTTCGACGTCGATCATCTTCAGGTGCCTGTAGAAACCCGCCTGGTCCCCCTCACGGCTCTTCTTCTCGAGAATGTATGTATGTACATATGTATCGTGTAAGTAATGTAAATATGGATTGACAACGGTTTAACTGATGGTCTGAAGGCAGATACGTGTAGAAGGGAGGGGTTGAGGGGGAGTCGTGGTGTACTTTGGGGGCTCCGTGGGGTCATGAGGGGGTGGGGGGTGGGGGCTCCGTGGGTCATTTTGGTCAAATATGTCGCATTTCACCCAATCACCAAAAACTCATCGGATATCGACGAAGCTCGACGCCGCGGTCACGCCCAAAGTTGTTTCACTTTCCAAATCGTTTTTTTTCGAAAGGTATCGCGAAAAATAAGATTGTGAATATTTGCCCGAACGGACCATAGATATGCAGGTAGTTTTCTCTGACGCTATAATTCCATTGTTAATCTGTCTCTGACTCTTTTCTATGATAGAGATGGACTCGTTGTGTNTGTGCCCGCACATCAGCCACACCTACTCCGCACATATGCATACCAAACTGAAAATACGTATGTAAACTGATGGAGACTGCTGTATGTCCTACAACAAACAGGGTGCCACACACAAAACGCCCGACTAACCAACAGTACCCAACACCTCTCGTCTGCACCTTCCCAACATAACATATAACGACATATTCGCCTGATTGAGAGCGTAGCATCTGATTGAGAGCGAGATTGCGCGATACGCTGTAG